TGTTGTGTTATTGTTTTAGGTTATAACGAGTGCGACACGAGCGATAGATAGGTTGTCTCTGTCGTAACGGTCGTTCCCTGACGACTCTGCCGAGAAACACAACACAAACTTTCGTTTCTCAAGTACACCTGAACTCTCCGTATCATAGCCGGGTAATTTTTTTATTTTAATGAAGCTATAATTAAATTAAAAATATATCGTATTTAAACTTTTTTATATTTTATTAAGATTTAGGACAGGTTTTTTAAATATAAGTTTAGAAAAAACAATTTAGAGTCCAAAAAGGATAAAAATAATAAAATACACGTTATAGAAGAAATTTTATAATTGAAATTAGGTAATTTTTGAAATTAATAATAAATTATTAATTTTAGTCAAACATTTACAACCCCTAATATTAATCAAAACAGGATCTATTCCACAGATATAATAGAATCGGCGACAGGGAGAGAAAAAAAAATATGATTGTTGTAATTTTGTTTCTGGTTAAGTGATGTCTTATTATGTAAATTAGAGAAAACATAAATCTGTTCCATTAAAGCAAGGAAGGTGATAAAATAAAAACTACATTTATTTAACTCGGTACTGTCTTTATTATACCAGGTGCGTCTCAAAAGTGGCTCATCCCCCATAATTTTTTTATATTTTCAAATAAAAAAACAAGATTTAGTATGTTAGTATATGAAATAAATTAGGATTGATTGACGCATTCAATTGTTTTTGGTCACTTCCTGTTTCACTGGAAATGACTATAACTTTTAATTTTTAAACTGCACCCTCGGTATATTTCTACTTTATTCGATAGAAAATGACACTCTGAATAGAATGACATATAATATGTCAACTTTTGACATTTTCGCATATGGTTTAATTGTAATTGTAACACGCGGTTCATAACGACAATTTGACTCCAACTAACCAAATACCAAGTGTGTGGTATCAATATATTCATAATTATTATTATTATTATTCATATATTCATTTTTTCAAATATGCTAATGAGTCACCCTTGTTTCATTTGAAAAAATTGACATATGTATGATTAAAAATACGATTTGTACATCTTTTAACCGGCCTAGACAAGACACGAAACCTATTAGACGATCAAAACTATTTTTCCAAGGCTCCTTGATTAAAACTTAGTGTTTTTAACAACACCATGGCACCCTGGATTGAAATTTAAAAATAGGATATGTTTTTAAGCGACAATGTCAAAAGTTGACATATGATATGTCATTCTATTCAGAGTGTCATTTTTTATCGAATAAAGTAGCAATATACCGAGGGTGCCTTTAAAAATCAATAGATGTAATCATTTCGGTGAAACAGGAAGAGACCAAAAACAATTGAATACGTCAATAAATCCTAATTTATGTCATATACCTACTAACATACAAATCTGTTTTTTTTTATCTGAAAAAATAAAAAAGTTATAGGGGTGAGCCACTTTTGAGACGATTTGGTATATTAAAAAATATTGTATCATAATGTAATATCATTTTAAAATTCTTGTATGTTATTTTAGATTCTGAAGATAATTTTAGAATAAACCGGAATATATTTTTAATAAAAACATTATTAATTATTAACAGGGTTATAATTATGATTTTGTTACAATGTAAGTAAGTAAATAATGTAATGTAAGAGAAAAAATTCAGATTTTACATTTTACTAAAATATTATCTAAATAAGCGCCTTTCTACAACAACGACGCTGACTCCCAATGGGTAAATTGAGAGTTGCCTACCGGTCAAAAGTTGTTTCAAGACTTAAATGGATTATTTAAGTCAAATTTCTTGCAAATTTGGCACTGGCGAACCATATTTTATATTTTTTGAACAGAAAAACTCAATAAAATAAACACTTAAGGACTACAAGCTAAGAAAATGCGTTAATACAGCCGGGGAGATAGCGGCAACAAAGCTTTACCGCACACGTGCGACACGTACTACAAGGTAATAAATGAATGAATAGGCTCCCTCGCCTCTAATCGGTGTTGTCATATTGTAAAGGACTTATCCTTATTAAACAGTATCCCACTTATAATTTAGTAGTATAAGGACTATTTAATACATCTATGGAATATTAAAACCTACTTTATTAAACTGTAGTATTAATATCTCAATATATGTGTATAACAAGAAAAAAAATATTGATAATATTAAAGACGTGACAACATAGGCTGGATGAGGAAGGCTCGGTTGACTGTACCCAGAAGTAAACAGTGTACAAAAAAGGTTGTTTGTCCGCGTTGAGATGTAAATAGTGTAGTCTATATTTTATTTTAAGTCTATGGATATACCCCTTTGATTTTTTTTTATTTATTAACTTTTTCTACTTTTCTCATTTGATACGGTTAGAAGACGTTAATGTAAGAATTGTAAATGCAATTTGACCGCCTTCTTAGGTTATGTTGTATTTTAAAACATTGCCGAAAATTAAAAAAACCGGTTTTATTTTTTTAGCAGACCATACCAACAGGTATGGTAGGCTATTAAGATCGGCAAAAAAAAGTTTTTTTAATGTCATTCAAAATGAGTTATTTGGGACATGACCTAAATACAAAATATTTTCATGGTATCTCTTCTGTCTGTCCGTCTATCTGTCCGTCTGTAACACGATAACTCAAAAACCGCTAAACTGATTTTAACCAAATTTGGCACAAAAATACTGTTATACCGAGAATCTAGCCATTAGTTTTTGGTGGGGGAGGGGGGTTGGTAAGGGGGTTTGGGAGGGGGTTAAAAATTTAAAAAATCGTAATTCCAAAATTACAGTAGCTAGCGAAACGCGGTTTTCCATTTAAGATTAGGAATAATATTTGCAACAAAATTTGTAATAACATCAAAATCAGTCAAAGTCGCAGTTTTTGAGATAAAAGAAATTGCTTTTGATTAACATATTTTAGTATGGGCGGCTATACGTGCCACCCGGCGTCAATTTTTTTTGCCTTGTATGTACTTTTTTGACTAACTGTGTATACTAAAAAAATTAACTAATTAAACTACATTGCTCCACGCCCGAAAATCTTTCAAATCGAAATAAGTGAAAAAAGCTCGATTTTGGCTCTGAAAATTTTTGAAAATCTTGCCTTTTTTCAACTTTTTGAGGGTATCGAAACTGTGTTTCGAAAATTTCCAAAAATTTTCCCGCCCAAAATCGACCTTTTTTCACTTATTCTGAATTGAAAGATTTTTGGGCGTGGATTGATGCAGATTGATAGTTAATTTTTTTAGAATATACAGTTTGTCAAAAAAGTACTTACAGGGTGAGAAAAAAATAAAAACCGATTTTTTCATTTTTACCAAAATTGTGATTTCCACGCTTAATTTCAACGTTATCACCTTTAAAATTAATTAGAATCACAAAAAAGGCCCCCTAAAAAAATCAGGTAATTTAATATCTCGACTGGACTATTATGATCTTTTCTGGTTACTACCTATTTGGCAATAACAAATACAGGGTGAGTTTTCTACGACGTTCTCTATGGGTATCTCGGTAACTAGTGGAGATAGAGTGCCTGTTAAATGAAAAAAATGCTGTTTTGTGGGATCATAAATATGCGCCTTTCAGTTTTTTGAAAAAGTTCATTTCATGGCTTACTAGATATTTCGAAAAACACAAATTTTGGCTATTTTAAAAATGGTCCTTAATTCCATGATAATACATTTTAGACAAAAAATTTTCAGATAAAAGTTGTAGGTAATCACATCCTTAATGAGATTTTGTTCTCCCCTTTTTTCTAAAGTCTGTAATTTTTGACATATGACACAAACTTATGTTTTTTTAAATGGATACCATAGTTGGTCATGACTTCATAAAAAACGCCATTTTTTAAGCTTTTCAGCGATATTAGCTATAATATGTTTTTTCCAAAAATTACTGAGTTATAGCGAATTTTTATCATTTTTAAACAATTTCACTCAGTTAGCCATGGAAACAAGTTCAATCGCCTGTGCTCTCAGAAATGTCAAACTGTCACATCCAAACATTGTAAATTAAAATAACCAAAAATTGTAAATATGAATTTTTCAAATGAAGAAAAGAGTGTAGGATTATTGAGTCAACTTTTCTTGGCCATACATTTTCGAGGATACGTTAGATATGCTTTTTAGAGAACGGTTTTCAAAACATGTTAGAAAAGTTAAATTTAGAAACTCGCGCATCAATAGCGTGGTTCCAAGATGACTTTCATTATGACACTCCCCCCATAATGAAAGAAATGTTAAAAATTATTTGTAACATAATTATTCAAACTCAGGGATAGGAAGAGGTGGACTAATTGCATGGGCCTCCTCGATCACCTGACCTATCCATTTTAGATTTGATGCGGCATATTTTTTGAAAATTTTCTAATATAATTTAAATTGTATGTAGTGATATTATTTTTTTAAGTTTTAATTTGTGTAATGTAAATTGTAAAGAACCGTGTAATCAAAACAGAATGAGAATACTATGCCAACTATGTGAAATTAGTCAAGAAAGATAAGAATTGGCTTAAAAAAATATTATAGCTTTTATCACTTAAAAGCTTAAAACATAGCGTTTTTTATGAACTCATGGCCAACTATAGTTTCCATTTAAAAAAAAACATAAGTTTGTGTCATATTTATGTCAAAAATGACAGGCTTTAGAAAAAAACGGAAAACACAGACTCATTAAGGATGCGATTATCTACAACTTTTATCTGAAAACTTTTTGTCTAAAATAGATTACAATGGAATTAGGGACCATTTTTAAAATATCCGAAATTTGTTTTTTTAAATATCTAGTAATGCATGGACTTTTTCAAAAATCTGAACGACGCATATTTATGACCCCACAAAACTGCAATTCTTTCCCCGTTTAACCGACCCTCTATCTCCAGTAGTTTCCGAGATGCCCATAGAGAACATCGTAGAAAACTCACCCTGTAAAAATTTAAGAAATATGTTTTCAATTTCGAGACTGAACATAAAAACTTAAAATTTGTAATTTAAACTAAATACTGAATTTATTAGTTTGGACGTGACCGAGGAAGATTCCAGACTAGCTTGGCACGGTCTCGTTCAGAATTTGTCCAATTCTGATTTAGAATGGCTCCGGGCAATTTTTAAGAGTAACGTTGAGGACGACGACGAAAATGGAGAAACGGGTCTCGATAAAAATGAGTTCCTTAATGCGATTTCGACGTTGTACGGTAAGTACGCGCAGTTAGCCCCAACGATAAAAACAATAAAAAAGATATAAAACCCTTAACGGAGTGATCATTTAGTAGTTTACTGCAAACTTCGGTATAAATTGGGAACGCTGTAAAGTACGGACCAATTTCTAGTTTCAAGAATGAAAATCCACTTATTACATTTAAATAATACCGCATCATAAAAAAAACGGCGTCAAAGACGTCTGGGAAATGAAAATCGATGATAATTTTGGCAAGGTCAATCTCTAGACGTTGACATAAAACGTTTCCAGATACACAAATCTATTTCCAAAAAAAATCATATTTTAAACTGCGCCATTTAAAAATCATTTTTAATCCATATAAAAATAAATTACAACCTTCTTAATGCCATTTGGCAGTAAGCGCTATTAAAAAATAAAGAAGAATACCGACCAAGTCTGGGGCTTGCCCTCGCCAAAATTATCATCGATTGTCATTCCCCAGCCATCTTTGACGGCGATTTTTTTCGATCATACGATACTCTATCGAAATGGTGGTTAGAAAATTATATACACATAACAGTTTAAGATATGATACACAGATATTACTAAAAATACTAATACTACATATTTATGCATAACAGTTTAAAACATGATACACAGATAATAAATAAAATAATGTATAAAAGTGTAAACATTTACTTATTAAATGATTAATTTACTATATAAATAATAAGTAAATTGTATTAATAAATCAGAAACTAAGAAATATGTACTAATTATTATTTATTTTAAGATTAAAAGAATATTAGGTGTACCAACATTTTTTTAAATTATTTTTTAGGCGATGAGAGATACTCCTTACAAAGTCAAATACTGTTTACTAACATAGCAAAAGAAAACGATAGAATAACATGGGACAATTTCTTGGATTTTTTGATTGATAATATGTGTCCTGATGTAGAAACTAAACTAAAGCTTGATCTTGTATCGATCGAACATGTAACTCATACAAAGGTACGTAAATATTAGGATTTAAAGTATTTAAAGGTAATATGTTTTCATTTTAAATCGCAAAAAACAAAAGAACATATTCTTTTCTACTGCCTAAAGTAATATATTTATCGTAATATTTTAGTTTATACTGAAAAAGAAACATTTTTAAATATATCAATATCTAAAGATTTGATTTGATGTGTTGATCATATTATATGATCATATTGTTAGCATTAAATATTTTGCACCCAAAATAATGAACCAAAAATGATAATTTGACTTAAGTATAGAAGTAACGCATTAATTCTGGCTTTTTGGTTAGATACTTGTATAACTAAAGATTTATATATATATATATATATATATATATATATATATATATATATATATATATATATATATATATATATATATATATATATATATATATATATATATATATATATATATATATATATATATATATATATATATATATATATAAATATATATTTAATAGAACGAATCGGTGGCCAAAATTGTATTGATAGAAACTGACAAGTATTTTTGCTACGCCATTATTTTAAAACATGGCAGGGTAGGATTATACGATGGAAATTTAAACTTTTTAACCTCTTATCATGCCATTATGACCCGAGAGGATATATCCCGGCCTGAGGATGAACGCAGAAGACGAAACAGGTAATCATAAGTATAAGTTAATTAGTTATTATAGTTATTATAGTTAAGGCGGACTCTCACGACTCGTGTACTTGACAAATATTTTTATGACATACAGGGTTCGGCGATAGTGCAGCGTAGCTCCTATAATAAATAACTTAGAAATTCTGTATAGATGTCTGATGCGCCCTGTATACCAATAACAAATGTTTGTCAAGTACAAGAGTAGTCTGATCGCGCCAATACAAGTTCGAACTATAATAAATCTTGGGTAATTAATCAATGACATTTCACATATATTTTTATATACAGAATGTTAACTGGATAGGTACTGATACGGGAACAGAATGGCAACACTGCCTCTTGAGAACGCATGAACTTAAGGATGATTCACGGTACACCGGACCGTACCCGAGCCGGGCACGTTCCGTAAAGTAGACACCGAGCCACGTCCGGGCCTTCAATATATGCTACACCGAGCGGACAACGGGGATCATGTCCGTGCCGATTATATTCTAGAAAACAGTGTTGCCGCAGTGGTACATTTGTACCAAATTTGATACTTTTAATTCTATTTGGTACAGTGGTACTACATTTTCAAATCCAGGATGATTCGGTACAATAATTATTTCCCACGCGCACCGAAAATGAATAGATATTTAATAATTATCGTCGTTGATATTGCATTAAACGCGCTTACCGATAACATTCGGAGACAATCCGCATTAATTAACGACGTATTATAAACGTTGTAATGTCCATAGGGTTGCCTATATTAAATAACCCGAAGAAAAAACTTAAAAATTTGCTGTTTCTAACATGCTTCTATATTTTCGTTTTTTTTTTAATAAAATTTAAGTTTTCCAAGTATCGTGTGTAGTATTAGAATTACTTACATTTCTTCAACCTATACATACTTATAATTGGGTTTTCTGAATTTCTATTTCATGTTTTTCGTCTCGATTTGTGTCTTTCTCCAGGAAGTTTTTATGTAGAAATTTATGAAGAAATTCACAACGACCAAACCGGTTAAAGTCATTTGCAGATGTATTTTGTTGTGCTTTAAAAAATTGTACCAAAGTGGTACATTTTTAGTTTATAATGTGGTACGCGCTAAAAGTTGGGTGCGGCAACACTGCTAGAAAACAGTCGCTATAGGCCCGTAGACGAACGAAGTATTTAGCCGCGGCGGATCATTTATGTTTGCCGCAACGGGGCCGGAACGTAGCGGATCCGAGGAAAAATGTACACCGACATTTCTTGGACGGGGCACGGACGCGTTCCGGCGAAGCTCGGACCGTGCTCGGCTTAGCATGAATGTATAAGTATAAATAACATTTGACAATGTTTGGCCGTGCCTTCACCGTCGCACGGCTCCGGCCCGTCACGGTGTACCGTGAATCATCCTTTATAGGGTTTTCTGCCGACCCGTCCCGTCGCGTCGCGTCGTCTATCAACGAGCGGGCCGAGGTTGCCATATTTCAACCATAAAGCTCTTGCCGCGAGTAATAAACAAATTAACAACCTGTATAAATGATAACCTATAATTGATATCAGTTAAACTTTTAGATACGTAATCGAGGGCGCGATTTTTAAATTCATTGTTGGCAACCATGGATTGACTAACTGGAATTTAAATTTCGCGCTGGGGATTCAGATGATAGCTCTGCTGTAAAAAATGTTGCCGCATTTATTTATTTATTTCCTGACATTGTTATTCGTTTTAATACTTTAGTTTTGTGTTACGAGTTTTTGGTTTAAATAAATAGTGTTGTGATACTTTAAGCTTAAAAATGTTTACTAGCAGATCTTGCAGTCGAATATTGTTCTTTTTAGAACCTCTTTTAGTGCGACGTGGTACAAGATAGCTTAATAGCCGTAAAAAACTCATCGCAACTTTATTAGAATATTTTGAACGGGAAAGCGGTAGTAATTGGTCGTTAAGGGACATAAACCCTTAAGTGCTGTTAAGTAGGTGAGTTTTGTTGATGTAAATAATAACTGTTTATTTATTTATAGTTAATTTATTTTTGTTTCCTAAAATATTTTGATAAAAGAAAATATATAAAAGTGGGCAACGCTATGCCGGTCAAGCTTAATCACGTGACTAAAAGTTTATTTGGTATAAACTGTAGTTAAATTTTCTTTTGCAAAACCAAAGTCGCATTCTGGAATAATTAGAGTAGAAATAGAATATAATGTAGTAAATATTACATTTTCTTCTATCAAGCTTTACTTGTTTTTCATACAAGACTTAATTTCTTCTTTTCCTAATTTAGGTGGGTTACTGATGCTCTGTTCTGTCCCGATACTTTATTATTTATTATAACAAATTCAGCAAGAACCATAGTTATATATGAAGCTTCTGGCTTAAAACATGTTCCATGCTGGTTAATCATCAGTACCCCAAATATTTTAGAGGTAGGTAAAATTGTGATTACTAGTAGTATATCCTCACTAATATTACAAACGTGAAAGTTTGTATGTATGGATGTTTGTTACTTTTTCACGCAAAAACTACCGTAAAATGGGGTGAATAGAAACAGTTTCGTAGGCTATTAGCGATATACCGGTTGATAAAAATGTGGTATTATGTTCCCGAATATTTTAAAACATGGGTCTTTGTTTGTTCTTTGCGTATACATATAATTTGATTTTTGAAAAATATGCATATAAATATTAAATAAAAATAACTTTTGTGTTTCTATTCACCTGCTATTCGGGAGAATAGAAACACACATTGACGTTAAGGTTTTTATCTATTCTATTTCCAACAAGGTGATTAGAAACAGATAATTATTACATATTTAAGTAGGTTTAGCAATAATTAACAATACATATAATATAACAACTTACATGTACCAGCTTAAGTATTACTTTAAAAATAAATATTTTATTTATAAAGTTTTCGCACCATACAAAATAGGTGATAAATCGATCTCACATTTATTGATCAGCTGATTGACAGAAACAGTGCTGCCACAGATAAAAATATAGTTTTTACATTTTATTGTGTATTACCATTGATAGAAAAATTAGATATGTCGACTCTTTTTACTTTGAATATTTTTAATCGTGATTTGATTTTTTTCAGAAATTTTGTTTCTATTCACCCCTATGTTTCTATTCACCCCATTTTACGGTACTCATAAAAAAACATTCAATAACATCTAATCTTCATGAATCGCGTTGATATTCACCAAAGTTATAGAACTTAATGATCAATTATTTGTTTGTAGACAGTTGCGTATAAACCGTACAAGAAATTTGATGCTGATAGTACAAAATGTGTTTTATTTGCTGGAGATTGTAACGGGGAAATTATGAGTATGGTGTTTCACCAACCAGGGACCAGTTTACTTCGGAAGAAAAGAACAGATGATATATCATTATTTTATTGGGAGGTATGTGAGCAATCTTTTCCGTTTTTCTTCGACGTATTATCTTTAATATAATTACATCATAATATGAGATCATGTTTTACTTTCTGAGAAGATAGACCAAGACTCCCTTGATCTTAATAGACTATTACCTATGAAAAATGAGATGACTTGAATTCTAATGACTTAAAATCATATTCTTAGTTTACACATTTAATGTCAAATAGCTTCTGTTAGTTGATTGATGATAGTGGTCTTCTTCAAAATGGCGACAGGCGACAGTACGTATAAGGCTACTGATTTCAAACTTCCAAAATTATGGCAATAGAAATAACAGAAAGTTTATTACGTAAAAAACCAAGACAAAAAAAAAGAATATGGATCAGAAAATGGATTTGCCGAAGACCTACTTATGGTGCATCTAATAACTTAATATCTAAGCTATAGTTAGACGACCCTAGTGATTACAAAAATAGTAAGGGTGGAAACCAACCAATTTAATTTAAATTAATTTCTTGTTGGGAAAAGTTGCACCCAGAATTAAAAAAACAAGACGCTATTTCTCCTCGGCTTAAGCTAGAAATTACTCTTCTTTCCCTAATTCTGTATTTCGGATTCTGTGTGTTCCATATACATTCTGTATGCTTTCATAAATATTGTTGCGAGCCGGTGTGGACTCGACCTAACCTCACAATATGGCCCGCCCTCGGATGACCTTAACATCGCATAGACACCGCAATGATTCATTCGTTCGAGAAGAATCGAGACCCACTAGAATGGACTAGTACATACGAGAACATTCGAAAACCTTCTCTATGCGCTTAACGATCTATGGACTATTCTAGATTTCTTTTGCTGTAGATATAAAAGCCGGCGGCAATGGCCTAGAGAGGGCAGTTACAAATATACCAGTGCAGTTGACGCGCGAAAATTCAAAATAAATTCTTAGTTATAAATCGTTTGTAAATAGTTCTATAAGTCTTTTATCGTTATTGTTTTTGTTAATTAGTGTTAAATAAATAGTGTTTAAATAAATTGTGACTTTCTATCCACACGGAACCGACGAAAAACGTAAAATTGGTGTCAAGTGTGGCCTGTGTGATAGACTAGAGAAATAAAAAGACTGACGATGGCTCCGAAAAAATTATTGAAAGACCTGAAAGTGTCGGAATTAAAATGCATACTGGAAGAGAGAGAGTGCGAGACAGATGGAAAGAAAAGCATTTTGCAAGCCAGACTGAGAGACGTTTTGGTGGAGGAAGGTGAGGATCCTGAAACATTTTGCTTTGAGTTGGAAGGTGACCTTGACTCGTCCTTACAAAAATTAGAAGATAAAATTACGAAAAATTCCCGGGAATTGCAAGACAGTTTGAACGATAAAATTACAGAGAATTCTCAAAAATTAGAAGACAGTTTGAAAGATAAAATTATGGAAAATTCCCAGGATTTAATTAATATTTTAGATCTTATCTTCGCAGAAAATTCTAAAGACATACAGGCCAGCTTTAATAATAAAATACTTAATTTAGAAGAAAAGATAACAGAAAATTCCAGGGAATGAGAAGAGAAGATAACAGATACACAAGACAAAATAACAGAGATTGAGGAAGATGTAAATAGAAAAATCGAAATTCTAAGAGAAGAAATAGCGAAGTCAAATTCACCAAAATGTCAAGAAACATCGGAGGGACCGAAACTAGTCGAAAATAGGTATACCTCAAAGTCAGTTATTAAGCCTCCACAGTTTGACGGAAAAACCGCTTGGGCCAATTATTTTTGCCAGTTTGAGGCCGCTGCGAGAGCGAACGGATGGACAATCGCTGAAAAGGCTACCGCTTTGACTGTCGCACTGCGAGGAGATGCGACTGATATCCTGCAGACATTGTCACCATCGGAACAGGGAGATTATCAGCAATTGGTACGACATTTAGAAATGAGGTACGGCCAAGCTCATTTGGAACGTTCGCCTTGCGTACCCTGCTATGCCCGAAAATGTTATGGAGCGCTTAACAGTACAGGCTTTTATTGATGGTTTACGTGACAACGAGACAAGGCAAACACTTCTTTTAGCTCATCCAACGCATTTGGGAGATGCCCTAGCACGTGCCCTGGAATTTGAGGCCGCGAAAGAATGCTCTAGGTCTCTAGGATTTGTACGGGCTGTTGAGGAGAGTTCCGACGATTCCAAAGTGGAAAGGATTGTGCGGAAAGTACTGGATCAGTATATGAGCAAGAAGGGGGGACCGATTCGCTGTTGGAATTGTGGACAGATGGGAAATCGTTGCAAAGGAGAGAAAGAAGTGAAAGTCTTAAGGACGACTGTGGTTGGTGATAGTTGGCAAACCGGAGATCTTGCAAATGACCAAATCAGTGATCCAGAGTTGGGCTTGGTGATTAACTGGAAAAACGCGGACCAGAGACCAACGTGGGAGGAAGTTTGCAGATATTCGCCGAACGTGAAGTCGTACTGGTCCCAGTGGAATTCATTGGTAATAGATAACGGATTACTTCGCCGTGTGATTGAGAGACCAGAGGGACCAGAAGAGAGAAGGGCAGATCGTCATTCCAAAGAAGAGGGTCCCGGAAGTCTTGGCGGAAGTTCACAATGGAACCAGCGGTGGACATCTTGGTGTTACCAAGACACTTGGCAAGCTGCGTGAACGGTTCTACTGGGTGAACTGCAAAGAAGATGTGAGGGCCTGGTGTAAGAAATGTGACATTTGCGCAGCCATTAATGATGGGCCACAAAAGCGTGGTAAAGCCCCTATGCGCCAGTACAATGTTGGTAGTCCCTTCGAACGAATAGCGATCGACGTGGCTGGTCCTTTCCCGGAGACTAACGATGGCAACAAATACATTGTGGTAGTAATGGATTACTTCAGCAAATGGGTCGAGGCCTACGCGTTGCCAAATCAAGAAGCGTCCACGATTGCTGATGCCCTTCATTTGGTTCGTGTTTAAATAAATTGTGACTTTCTATCCACACGGAACCGACGAAAAACGTAACAATATTAATAAACCTCACAGCATTTTCTTCTGACTATCTACTGGCCGGCATTTTGAACCAAACCAAACACCACTTGCATGCCAAAAGTTAAACAATAGTCAATTGAGACTTGATTTGTCGTTCAGTGATTTGATCAATTCATTTGACTTCTATAAACGCGTCTTAATGGTAGGTACCATATTTGGTAGGTATAATTTTATTAATTTTCGGTTTTAGGATTTTCTGAAAGAAAAAGATTACGTTACAGTAAAAAATTATGGAAAAGTTCATGAGAGTGGAGTCAACCATATTGAATACTTTGCAGAAAAAAATATTCTATTATCATCCAGTGAAGATAGCAATGCATCGGTTGTCGTAAAATATTTAAATAACAAAAGGAAATCGGCTTATTACAAAATTCCTAAAGTAAGTATCAGTACTAATTTTAGTGTATCATTAAAGCTTCGTCTACACATAACGTTTTACCTGTCAGGTAAGATGGATTAAAAACTACCGAATATACTGGAAGTTTTATCTTTCTGCGGTTTTATCAATTATACCTACCATTGTGTTTAGTGAAGTTAAAAAGAAAAACATGGAATTTTATACAAAATTGTATTTATGGTTTAAATTTAATTTATAAAGACGCATAGCTAATTGTGAAAATTGTATTATTTGGTAATAAGCATTAAATGTTTCTAAACAATTTATATGGTGGCCCGGAAAATATTTGCATAAGTTACTTTGACTTCTCTAAGGACCACCCTGTATACTGGAATATACTCAGCAGACTTTATAACAGCATTTTTTTAGGGGGTCGGCTGTTTTGCAATGAGTACCCAACATAAAATTCTAATAACTGGAAGTTTCAATGGCATTATTCGATTGTGGAATTTTCTAATATCCAAAGCTATTTACGTTGTGAAGGAACATAGTTGTCAAGTTGTCGATTTGAAAGTATTAGATAGGCAAGAAATTTTCATAGGCTGTTTTTGGGACGGAGTAAGTAACCGTATAATTCTTTATTTTATTGTGTGGCCAAATGGAAATAGAAAAAAGAAATTTGGTATGAGTTTGGTGAGCAATCAACTTAATACTAAAATATGGCTAAATTTTGAACCTTTTAGTAAAAGATTAAGGAAAGAACATATCAAAAAACTTAGTGAAGCGCTATGGGGACCTAAAATGGCCGACTTAAAATCTGGTTTATCGGTGTCGTTCTAATTTTATTCAAAACATAAAAAATATAACGTAGGGTAGACTCAATAAATTGTTATTTTATTTTACGTTGCCAATAATTGTTGAATGTAGAATAAAGAATGTTTAGGAGGGGAGTTAATCACCGCAACCTTACAGATCTATTGTGTGTTCCCCTTATAACGAGTTACACTACGTTGTCTTTACTATTACTCATTATACAGTCTCGGAGGTTTAATAAAAGCCAGTATCTGAGACGGCACCATAGAGGCCAGCTCTCCATCCTCAACATCAGCCGTACCAAAGTTCATAGCACGAACGGTCGTCGTCGTCTCGGCGCACTTAGTGATAAGGTGTTCTGGTGTTTCCCCATTTTCCCCACAGAATCTGCATTTTTAAGGAGGGCGTCCATTCTTCTCAAAGAGACCTGGTTTAAATTAAAAAAGGTAGAAAAAAGACTTAAAGTCTCGGTCTCAACGTTTATATAATATTAAAGAGTGACACGTGTTTCGCTCATACGAGCATCATCAGACCTAACAAAAAGAAAGAACCTAAATAAATAACAAATAATAAAAAGGTCGTCGTAACTTACAAATACAATTAAAATTAATCTACACACTACATGTGAAATGTGAACGTGTGTGTAGATTAATTTTAACTGTATTTGTAAGTTACGACGACCTTTTTATTTTTTGTTATTTATTTAGGTTCTTTCTTTTTGTTAGGTCTGATGATGCTCGTATGAGCGAAACACGTGCCACTCTTTAATATTATATAAACGTTGATACCGAGACTTTGAGTCTTTGTTCTACCTTTTTTGAATCTGCATTTGCCGTTGTTTCTCAGCTTCAGCCTACTGAGGTGTTCATTGAGGATACAGTGTCCTGTTAGAAACCCCGTGATAATCCGTTGTTTTTACATAAATCAAGGAAAATCTTTGATTTTTCTGGGTCGTAAGTTCTGAGAAAATTTTTCGAGTGTCTTAGACCGTTGGAGGACCCCCATTCCAGGTTAATGATGGCCAATAAATGTTAGTAGTTATTATAATTGTTTAAAAAATATATAATTCTAATAAAAATAGGTAAGTTATAATAATTATTTAATAACATAAACATCAGATAAGCTAATGAAGCACGTAAGTCAAATTGACCTACCTAAATTATTTTTGACAAGTAGAGGAAACGAAAATATACAAGAAAAATATATAATTAGTTAATTCTAAGCGACATTCATAATTGATCGGTTTACTACACGTGTGTATACTACATAAGTTATACCATTATTTTCCTCAATTTTTGATCAAGATCGACTGCAGTTGTCATCCCAACACTGGTTTCACACTGGCCTACTGGGATGACCTTGCAGAAGAAAGGGCCTATTGTGACTTGTTTTAACTGAAATAATCTTAAATATTACTATTATGACCCTTCCTCTAGGAGATGCAAGATGGAGACAGATCCCCCAGCCTCTACCTCACAAGTACCTCAGCCGGAGACAAGCTCCTCAACTGTGAAGGGCACAGGGGGCTATACTCCAACCGTGGAAGGGTGTATACCCGCGTAGGAGGTAGATGCTCACTCCTCGGAGGATGAACATCTGTTGTCAGAGAAGGATGGGAAAAACTTTGTCCCCCCTTACAACAGGATGATCCACATCCTCATTTATGATGAGTTATAGACTGTATGATGAGTTATATCTCAAGAAAGGGGGACACAATAGATCTTTAATGTCGCGGTGATTAACCCCCCTTCATTCCACCTTACTCATTCTATCTTCTACGTTGTCTTTACTATTTTGGCCAGATTTTTTTTTGCTCAGATTGTAATTGGTGAATATTTATCCATGTAACAATGTAACTAACATTTTTAGCTCACTATATTATTTATTTTGATTAATTTCTTTTAGATCTTCCAAACAAACGTTGTTTTTTGCAGCCGTCAAACTCCTGATAATTTATGACCGGTTTAGACGTGTAAAATATATTTTTAGATTGTGAAAATATGGGATTTAAAAGAATATTCGTGCCTGCAGACGCTCAAGCTCAAATTCCCTTCCTTCGCTATTCATGGAAAAGTTATAGAGTGGGGAATAAACTGCATTTATCCCGGTCCCAAAAGACAACAGCCGGGAAGCGGAGATGATGCGGAACGAAAAAAGGAATGCTTCGGTATAAACGACATAGATGAAAAGAAAATTGAATCGAAAAATGATAAGCTCAGGTATAGTATGGTTTTTATAAACATAATTTAAATGCATCATATACAATATCTTTTAAATTTTTATTCCTCTGGAAATATTTTTTTTAACATGATGATTTTTTCCCGAATTGTTTATTTTTGGCCTTAAGGCTATCGGAGCGATCAACAACGAATGAAAGAGTTGGCAGTACTGTGTAAGAGGTTTTTAGGAGTAGTTATTGATACTGATTTACAATTTCAAACGGTATTTTGTGTAATTGATGATATGCATTTTTTCTCAAATTAGAGCATTCATTATTAATTAATCAAATTATGCATCAACTTATTTCTAAAAAGACCGCTAAATAATTTATTTTGTTATTTTCAATGATGTTGCCTAAACAGTACCTCTGTGTGGTTGCTAAATTTGTACAAGGATGGTTTAGAAAAATAGCATCAGGTTTAATAAAGGAATCGACGGTAAAGCTGTACAGGGTGGCTCAAATTCGACGCTCATCATTGGGATTTGGGAAACCGTAAGAGATACAGGATCGGTTAAATGGAGGCAAAGTTGCGCAATTTGATGCTCAATAAAATGCCGTATTGCATTTTGAAAAAATCCGAATACTTCCGAATATATGTATATATTCGAAAAAAAAACGGAATTCTCAATTTTGTTTTCTATTGTTTCCTGGTTTTATTTGTTAAGATAACTTAAAATGAAAAACACATTTTTATGGCCTTTTTTTCTGCTCTATAACTCTGTGTGATTAAATATTGACTCCATCACCAGAATATTTTATGCAAAAAAAAAATAAAAAAATAAAAATGCAATACGGCATTTTATTGAGCAAATCAAATTGCGCAACTTTGCCTCCATTGAACCGATCCTGTATCTCTTACGGTTTCCCAAATCCCAATGATGAGCGTCGAATTCGAGCCACCCTGTACAAATAGCAAATGCCACAGAGGCTTTTGGAGGTGTAGCAATTGGTTTGTAGAGACAGAAATGTTTACACATATATACTGATTTAAGGGTAGGACAAGGTTTTGCAGGTAAAATGGGAGAACGGCAGTAGTAGTCGTTAAAGCAGATGAAAATAATGGTTCGGAAGATGAATTTATGATATTTATTACCGAGTTAGGATGGGACCATGATATTAGGAAATTAGCAGGGACCGCATAGCCAACAATAGACAACAGTCGACCCAACTACAAAGAGAGTATCTAAATATGCGAGAGAGGCTACAACATAATTGGAAATGGTTGAATAACCTGAAAATGATGAAGATGATGATGGTGGTTAACGAGTATCATGTGATTTTTCAAACTTCTCTAAACGTATGATTTAGTATAAATATGTAGCTTTGTCTCAAAACACCGCTACATAATTTATTTTGATATTTTCAATGATGTTGCCTAAATACTACATCTGTATGGTTGCTCTGTATTTGTACCAGTACAAATGAGGAAAATAGCAGGTTTAATAGAAGAATCTTACGGTAGAGTTGTAAGTATAACAAATGCTACTAATGGATTTTGGTGGTGTAGCATTTGGTTTGCAGATAGATATGTTATATAGATACTAATTTGATGTACAAGAAAATCTGCAAACTGAGTTAACGGTAGTAGTCGTCAAAAGAGATAAAAATGATTCAAAAGATGAGTTTATGATATTTATTCACAAGTTAAAGCCTGATGTGATTTTTTTAAAACACTCCAAAATTATCGTTGAATATGTAGATATACAATGTGATCGAAAAAAAACCAGCATCAGCGATGGCTATGAAATGAAGATCGCTGTCATTTTATATGTATATAAAATTATATGGGGACTGTCATCGATCGTCATTTCAAAGCCAACTGGACGCCGTATTTTTTCATCATATAGTGTTTCAGATGGTAAGTACAATATGGGAATCCTAGTGGTACGACTTCGCCAACCGGATTTTCCAAATCGTATAATTTTCAACACTTTTGGAAAAATGATATTTCTGTTCTGAAAGAAATTTAGATTATGTAAAAGAGATCAAATATTCACACTAGTCACAACCATCCACTCCAAGAAATTTGGCAAATGTCCTATCTTTTGTGCAAAGCAGTACAGTTTAGGCTACTTTCCTCTATCTAGCTCTAAAATAAATTTGATATGGGTACTCATTCTTTATTTTTCAATAATTCGAAGGAAAAAAACAAATATCAATATTGATATTGAGTTAAAGCAGCTGTAGGGTACTGACATGAGTAATTTCCTTTTATTTCAAAAGGACAAAAGGCACACATAATAATATTTTATTTAATAATTGTATTTTTTGACGATATTCTTTGAATATTACTAAAATCTAATAAAAAAAATAATTTTTAGAGAACATCACATTTTCGAAAGATCGTTTCTCCTAGTATCTTGTTGCAATCACATCGCCAAAGTGAGAATGAACTTCAACGAATCATCAATCGAACTTGGATTTAGTTACCCGATATTGCCACCACCACCTTTACAAAATAGTGTTTTAATTCCAACCAACTGGGGATTGCAGAATGAAGCCATAACTACTGAAAAGTAATGTTTAAATTATTATTACATGCTTTATTTGAGTTAACTTTATAATAACACTGGTCGGCATGAAAATCATCCAGAAATGACTGAAAATGCCATCTGCATGTAGATTAAAATAACCATAGATAAGTGAAACAAGTTTAGATTGGAAAGTGCCCATAAGGACAATGTAAACACTATTTGGCGCTATTTTTGCAACGGTCGCGACCCAAAGCTTTTGATAATTTCGGATAGGTTCGGCTTTTTCCGGAATTATGTTGCTAAATATTATTTACCTATTCAAATTTATTATAATTTTCTTTTAATTTTATAAATAAAATACAGTGTGTTTCATACAAGAAACTTTATTTTTTATAAGGATGTATGTGAAATATCTATGGAACATTGGAAACCGACATTATGCCACGATCCACGATGGTTTTTGTAGCTCACAGTTCACAACAGTTTTTAGTTTTTAATGCCACTTTTTCACAATTATCACGGGTTTGAGTAACTAAAATTTAAATTAAACTTACAAAATAGCAATAATTACTTTGAGAATAGGCGCTTTAAACACTTTTCGGTATTTTTTCAATGAGGCCGGTTTAAATTTTGAAAGATTTTATAATTTTTGAAGATTCTGACTTTGACAAGCTCAAATTATTTCTGTTATTGTTTGCGGTTGTTCTTAGCAACCGCTATAGCAGCGCCAGATCGCGTACAACGGTCGCGACCCAAAACAATTTTCTATTTTGACTGGCTTTCCAATCTAAATTTATTTTCTTTATCTATGAAAATGACATACGAACTGTCATTGTCAGAGGGTTTCCTTTTATTGGACTGACTATACTATACTATGCTTGCAATTCCGATTGTACAAAGTCCCTCATTTATTTAGTTAAATTAGACAAATAATTTATATTAATTATAAATCAAATGAAAATAATTATTTATTACTATAATAAATAAAAGGTAAAATTTCAGGTTTGATCGAGAATTAAACGCCAACGTGAAAAAGCAGTTAGAGGAGCTGAGTTTTATTTTAGACAAAAACATTCTGGAGGAGAGGGATCAGAGGAGCGACATAAATTACAAGATAGCTATTTTGGAATCGAAAAAAGAGCAGGTAGAGGTTTATGAATGATATACGACTTAAGGAGTCATTTATTTCACTTTTGTTTTGACATGAAATTATGTTTAAAGCATAACTACTTCTTGCTTAGATGAATTATTATTTATAAGAGCTTACAGCCTGGAAATTTAAGGGTATTGCTTATGACAATGTTTATGAAACACTACATATGAACACATTGGAATATTACACATTTAAATTTGACGTTATCTATAGGTTTGGTGCATTTCAGTTGATTTCAAAAAATTCCAAGTGCAGCACTGTATACGGCAGAATAAAATGTAATAAACGTAACTTTGTCATAATATTTAAGTATTTTCTTTTTTTTTCTTAGTTTTTTTGCTAGTGCAGTTATTCAAACTATAAAACATTGAGGTACGAGGTTTGTGTGATGTAACGCTGTTTCGGGTGGTAAAAAATTCCATTACAAAATAAGTGAAAAATAATCCGAACTAGGCGTCGTGTTGTGTTGAGACAATTTCAAATGTTAATAAAATTGCCGAAAAAATGGTTAACACGTAAAGGAGAGCGTAATTAGGGGCGTTTTTGGGTGCAATAACATTCAATAACTCATCTTTCTCGGATATTCAACTCTCCCGAAACAACATTATTTGTAGTTTCTCACACCGATTTGATCAAAAGCAAAAATGGATTCAAGCAGTTCAACGAAACAAGTGGGTAAACAAAGTGCTCGTTACATAATCAAAAAATTAAACAGTCATATACTATGAGAGGATAAAATATAATTTGCATATTAATGGTATACTTTTTTTAATCAGCTAGTGATTAAATGTTTTATGGACACTAAAATTATAATTATGTACCTTTAAAAAATTTCGTTATAGCCGAAATAGCCCCAATTATAACCCCACTAGCAAAACCCGTGCGTAAAACTATGCTCGTTACAGTTGTTGAACTCATCTAAAAAGTTTTTTAACTGGAATAATAAATTATGATACAAGTTAGACCTTCTGCATGAAGATATCAAAATAGAATATTTACTTTTTTCATAGTTCCATAGCAACTGTTAAAATTGCCTTATATCTATCAAAAATAGTACATAGATAAAATAGTATTTTAACCGCAAGGGTAGATTAAATGCAAAAAATGCAGTGCAAAGAAATTTCACATATTCTGGGTTTAAAATTTTAGATTTTTTCGGTTTGTAACCGCTACATGACAGCTTCAAGAAAGCTATGAGCCATAGATAAATGAAACAAGTTTAGATTGGAAAGTGCCCATAAGGACAATGTAAACAGTATTTGGCGCTATTCTTGCAACGGTCGCGACCCAAAACTTTTGAAAATTTTGGAGCGGTTCGGCTTTTTCCGGAATTATATCGCCAAATACTGTTTATTCAAATTTATTATTATTTTCGTTTAATTTTATAAATAAAATACAGTGTGTTGCATACAAGAAGCTTTATTTTATATAAGGACGCATGTATTAAATACCTATGAAACATTGGAAACCGACGTTATGCCACGATCCACGATGGTTTTTGCAGTTCACAGCATAAAATAATAAATACAAGAAGAAGTGTCAAGTCAATGTTAAATTATGGAAACAGCGTGGCTGCCTGGGTAACTAATTTTCAGATATGGCGGCTGGGACATTTGACATGACATAGACATGACAATTTCAATTTTATGAAATTTATTTCCGTTTCCGGTTTTTAATGGCGGGCTGTTCAGGAGGTTTAAATGAGGGTTAATATACTTTTTACTCTTTCTAGTAGTAAATAATACAACAAAATTACTCAAAAATATTTATTTGGAATTTAGAACAATGTAAATATGCAAATCAACACAATTAAAGATCTATAATCCAATAAACTACTATATCAATATCAAGTATTTAAATAACATCAGAGATGCTGTGTTAAAGTGAATTAGTAAAGTAACAGAGTGCATTGACTTACAGAAACTTGAAGATAAATAAATGTTTTCACAGCTTCAGGGGCATAAAACTAAATAACTGGAAGCAGGAAAAAGGCAACCGGAACCCACACAAAACCTGGAATCAAAAAAAAATGTAAAAAACATAAATATAGGTACATAAGACTTTTGTGAATTAAATCAAACAGGACTTGAATGAAAATAAAATGAATAAAAAATATGATACATATACATCTAATACCTCATTTGTATTTTAAAAATAATCTACATACATAGATTTATAGCATTATTGCTATGAAAATACATAATAGGTACCTATGTGATATGTAATTACGCATTTTTGTTCATCTTGTAGAAAATTAATGTAGGCTAATAATAGTTCAATAATCATAATTTACCCTGTATAACTTGCTTTCAATTGCTCAAAATCACCGATCAGTCTTTAAAGTAGAGATACGGAAAAATCCTTGGCAAAGAATATCCCAAGATCCTTGGGTTTAAAGCTAAAAAAATATAAAAACAGTTAATATATTACCTATTTTTACATATAATATGGCCCATACCTACTACACGCAGAAACGTCAATTTCATCATTTTCTTCATGTAATTAATATCATATATACTTTATTAAAGTATTAACAAGGAACTTTATATCAAAAAACATCTTTGTACTTATAAATTTCAGCCGAAATATCAGAAACAAACTTCCAATCAAATCTAAACGGCAAAAATTAAAATGGCGCCCGACCTTGCCAGAGGCATCGGGAGCTGACGCTGACACACAGACATAAGACAAAAGAACAGGACGCCGACGTGCATAAAAATGTTCCGTAGCAGAAATTGACAGAAATCATATAGAAATATTCAGATTTTTGTCTAGGACAGTCTAGAAGGCCATGCTTTCTGCCTGGGTAGAACTGCGCCACAACTGTTTCCATTTTTCCGGTTTACGTCACCCCCATGGTTCACAGTTCACAGCACAGCTTTTTAAGTTTTTAATGCCACTTTTTCACAATTATCACCAGTTGGAGTAAATAAAACTTGAATTAAACTCACAAGATAGCAATAATTACTTTGAAAATGAACGCTATAAACACTTTTCGGAATTTCTTTAATGAGAGCGGTTTAGATTTTGAAAGATTATTATGATTTTTGAAGATTCTGACTTTGACAAGTGAAAATTATTTCTGTTTTTGTTTGCTGTTGTTCTTAGCGACCGCTATAGCAGCGCCAGATCGCGTATAACGGTCGCGACCCAAAATAATTTTGCGACCTAAAATTTTTACGGGCTTTCCAATCTAAACTTGTTGCATTTATCTATGCTATGAGCTTGCTATATCTACAAAGTTTAGATGTTACTATACTACCACGGAAATTTAACCGGTATAGCTTATCCTTAACCTTGAAATATCAATGTTTTCATTGACCAGTATTGTACTTTTTAGCATTGAGTAGTACGACCATAAACTGGACAGCTGCATTTTCTTTCATTTTTCAGAAAAATATGTTAAAAGTACGTTTTCACAAGGTTTTCACTTGATCTTTCTTTTCGCACGTTTTTTAATTGCTTCCATTTTTGAAAATTTTTGTATTCCTTTTCATAAGTTATTCGGGATTTAAATGGAAGTAGTTTGGATATGGCGTTTGACACCTCAGCCTGAATATCTGTTGGTAATTTACTTATTTCGTTTTGAGCAATTTCTGGCTCCAATTCAATCAGCAATCGACACGAAAGAGAATTAAAAAATATTGACTCAAAACTGACAACTAAAGAGACAGCTTTATTTATTTGTCAAATTACTTAGAAACCAAGGCCAACCCAGCACAATATTTTTTCTACTCGTAATAAATTCCTTGAAATAATAATTTCTGAATATTTTTTGAAACGTAACTCGCTACGGAAAAAATATTGTTTTATATCTCCCGAAATTAATTCACTTGCGATTTCATCGCTCGTGAATTAATTCTTTCGGTCGACGATAAAATACTAATTTATCGTCTTGTATAAAAAATAACTATTTATTTTTAGAACTTTATACTACCTAACACTTTTAGAATATTTTTTTCGTATACTCGGTACTTAAACCCGTGTATTTGTATATATCAGTTGTTTACGATATTCTCCGATGGTGGCAACACCGGCGGAGAATGCACCAAGTTTATAAACAGAGAATGTTAATGTCATGCTGTTAATAATTATAATAATTAATATATTATAGAATAAGTATTCCAATTTGACATAATCTCATTTTTTTTGTAGATGAAGGCAAAAGTTGCTCTGGGAGCGCCCTACTTGGCACTGGACATCGCTAATATCCAAGAACTCAGTTTGCCGCAATCAATTTCCTGTCCCAGCAGGAAAAAAAGTAAAAAATACGCCGATCAAATTAAGCAGCTACTGGCGAATGCGTCGAATAAAGACGAGATCTTCTCTGAACCGTCGAGCAGTAGGTCGAAATCGAATAGGAGCAGCATCGTGGAGTTTCCTTTGTAGGAAGCATTACTTTGTTAAGAGGTTATAACAGTTTAAAAGGAATATTTTAAAATTAACTACAGTATGTCCCCGGATTGTCTGTACAGGGGGAAACACTTTTTATTTATTTACTTTTTGGGAAAAATGCATTCTTCATAAAAATTTTTGCTTGTTCTAAAATGGTTAATTCCGTTTATACTTTTCCAAATTTCGATACCGTTTTAGAGAGAATAAAAAAAACAAAAAAATATTATCAAGTTTTAACTCGTTTTACTATTTTCAATAACTAATTAACCAGGGAAACATTAAAATATGTTTTGACATTGAAAAGTCAAAACATATTTTAACAAAAAAAATTAATTAATGTTATTTTTTGTGCTTTTTGTATATTGTTTGACCCGTGGTAATAGAATTTATATTTTAATTTCCGACGATATTTTAGATTTGTGTTCTTTTTGAAAGTTTGTTTTTGTAGTGTAATTAGCCGATAAACATTATGGCTAATAAATGTGTTATATGTGAATCTCATCCTTAAAAGAACTCCACAACATAAAAGTATGAAAACCTTTGAAATATGTTCCATATTTTCAAAAAATAAGATATATGATATTTAAAATCGTTTTTTAAATCGACTTCTATTCGGCGAAATATAGATATAGTCTAAGAGCTAGACACGTTTTCGAGAAGGTATTTTAAGACGTCTGGCTTTTTAATATATCTTTTACTATGCTCTCTGGAACAGCATGCGGCTCGTCTGGCTGCCGATACCCGTTGCGTTCACTACTGCGCATCGGAAGAAGATCCTATATTTTTTTATTAATGTCCTATAAATTCTAGTATTGAATATAAATCGAACATGTCTCCATAGCGCAGTGCGTAGAGTTTCCGATCACGAGCCGATGATTCAGAGTTCGATTCCGAGTCAGGGCAAAGACTTTTTTTATTTTATTTTCGTTTCTATTCTGATAGTAAAGTATTAAATAAATCTGGTGATTCAAAAAAAAAATTTAATCTTTACTATCAGATTATAAACGAAAATAAAATAAAAAGTCTTTGACCTGATCCGGATTCGAACTCTGAATCAACGGTTCGTGGTCGGAAACTCTACGCACTGCGCTATGGAAACATGTTCGATTTATATTCAATACTAGAATTTAAAGGACTAATAAAAATATAGGATCTTCTTTCAATGCGCAATGCGCAGTAGGGAACGCAACGTTTACCGGCAGCCAGACGCGCCGCATGCTGTTCTAGAGAGCATAGTAAAAGATATATCAAAAAGCCAGATATCTTAAAATACTTGTTTTTTCGACGTTGCTAGCTCTCATACTAATATATTTATGTTAACTTAATCACTTTAAACGTTATTAGGTAATTTACCTTTGAAAATGTTTTTCTTTAAATAATTATACTAGTAAACATTTTATTATTTCTATATTTTTGTTTTATACAGGGTGAGTTTCCTACGATGTTCTCTATGGGTATCTCGGAAACTACTGGAGATAGAGAGTCGGTTAAATGGAAAAAGAATGCAGTTTTGTGGGGTCATAAATATTCGCCTTTCAAATTTTTGAAAAAGTTCATGGTTTACTAGATATTTAAAAAAAAAAATTTCAGCTATTTTAAAAATTGTCTCTAATTCCATTATAAGCTATTTTAGACAAAAAGTTTTCAGATAAAAGTTGTAGATAATCACACCCTTAATGAGACCGTGTCCTCCGATTTTTTTCTAAAGCCTGTCATTTTTGATATATGACAAAAATATATGTTTTTTTAAATGGAAACCATAGCTGGCCATGACTTCATAAAAAGCGCCATTTTTTTCACCAATTCTTCAATCATTTTTAAACAATTTCACTTAGTTAGCCATGGAAACAAGTTTAATCGTCTTTGCTCTCATAAATGTGAAGTTGTCAAATCCAATCTTTGTAAATTAAAATAAACAAAAATTGTAAATATGAATTTTTCAAATGAAGAAAAACGTGTAGGATTATTGGTTCAACCTTTCTTGGCCATACATTTTCGAGGATACGTTGACCGGTGAATGTTACGTTTTTTAGAGAACGGTTTTCAAGACATGTTAGAAAAGTTAAATTTAGTTATAGCCATAGACTTAGAATAAAATATAGACTACACTATTTACATTTAAGCGCGGTCCAATATTAATTTTTGTAAACATGTTTACTCCTGGGTGCAGCTGACCTCGGCCGTCTGAGTCTTTCGCCTCCAGCCTATGTTGTCACGTCTAAAATATTATTAATATTTTTTTTTGTTGTTATACACATATATTGAGATATTAAAACTGTATTTTAATAAAGTAGTGTTTAATAGTAGAAAGATGTATTAAATAGTCCCTATACTACTAAATTATAAGTCGGAGACTATTTAAAAATGACAAATTCTTTACAATTTGGCAACACCCATCAATCGCCGGGTCGCCTGTTCATTCTTTATTCTCTCGTAGTAGAGCCATAGTAGAGTAAAGCACGTGTCGTAAAACCTTGTTGTCACAGTTTCTCCATGGCTATTTTATTGTTTTTATTGGATGTTTTGATTTTGTATTTTTTGGATTCGATTTTCTTAGTGTGTAGTGTCGGTTTAGTGTTTATTTTGATTACTTTTTATTTAAAAACTATAAAACATGGTTCGTCAGTGCCAAATTTGTAAGAAATTGGACTATTTAAGTCCTGGAACAACATTCCACAGGTAAGTCAAATTTACTATTTTGGCGTCAGTGGCGTTGTAGAAAGGCGCTTATTTAGATAATAATTTAGTAAATTATAAACCCTGGAAAATCTGTATTTTTTATATTTATCATTTACGTAAAGGTTCTTACTAACCTCGTTATTAATATAACGAGTAGATACATTATTAAGTACATAAGAAGTAGACACATTATTTTCTTGGGCATTGGTTAATTTAATGCTTTTTTTTATGAAAAATGTGTTTCTTTTTATTCTAAAACCATCCTTAGAATCTAAAATAACATACAGGAATTCCAGAATGATATTCCATTATGAAACAACAATTTTTAAGGCTTATTATAAACTATAAACAATCGAGAAAGTCGAAAAAATTACAAGCTACCAAACATTTTAAAATACCAAACATTCCTTATTTTTTTTCAAGACTAAAATATTTTACAAACATTACTTTTTCCCTATAGTTTCACATCAGGTATAGAAATAACTACGTTTTTATGATAGGGTCACCATTATGATAACAAAAATGACGAACAATGGTCCAGAAATGTAAACAAGTACATATTTTTTGTAAATATTTTTCTTACCGCTTGCATTTTTGTCCATTATTATTTCACAAATTATACAGGGTTATGTAAACCAGGTAGATATTTCGTTTTTTTTATATTAAACAAAGATAAAATAAATATGCCATTTTAAAATTTATCCAGTACTTACCTAGAGTTTTTTCTTTTTTTTTCTCGACTGTTAATCTATTATTAATTTGTAATACCGTATGATCGAAAAAAACGGCGTCCAGTTGGCTTGGAAAAAACCATCGATACATACTCCATATAATTTTACATATAAAATGACAGCGATCTTCATTTCATAGCCATCGCTGACGCCGTTTTTTTTCGATTATAAGGTATAATTTTCATTTTTTCTTTTATAATGTAATATCACTTAAGTAATATCACATATAATCTGAAGATAGTTTTAGAATTAACCAAAACGTAAATCTTTAATAAAACAATCTGTTATTATTTGCCATATATGTATGTATCCAAGAAAATAATTTACATATTATTATTATATGTTTTACTGTTTTTTATCTTTATTTGAAACTCAGAAATGTTGCATTGGCTTTCTAAAAAAATGAACTTGTAAGTTTTTAAAATGCTTCGTTTCGGAGATACAGGGTGTAGAAGTTTCATTTTTATTTCGATTTTTTTCCAAATAATTTCTGAAGTGACGTCAATATTTGGACGAAAATTGGCGTTTGGGAGTTTTTTGACATGAAAAATTAGATTTAGATGTCAATTTGACTTTTACTAATAGGGGGCGCCACCTACATATTTTTTAAGTTATTTGAAGAGTAATACTTTTTGTCTGTATCTATATAAAACTACTGAGAAAAATTTACATTTCCAACGTTTTTTACTTAATAAGGTCTCTTGTTGACACTCGCCACAAGTATAGTTCTCAAGATATTTGGAAACGAATTAATCAATACATTCTTCATAAATTATTTGGAAAAAAGCGAAATAAAAATGAAATTTCTACACTCTGTATCTCTGAAACGAAGCATTTTAGGACATAAATTTATACTATTTTTTTTACTGATTTTATTTGCAGATTATGCTGCCAAAGTTTCCTGAATACAATTCCGACCACTCTGTATATCAAGATATCCCCCATTACGTACTAGTTTTTCTTAATAATTTTCTATACATTTTCCAACGCCAAGATGTACCAAGCGCATACAAATACATCAAGCTTCAAACAAGCTTGCACGTTGACAGTAATACCTACAGTAATATTGTATTATATTAATGTAATATTTTTGAACCAATGTTCAATATTACTGTAGTAATACTGTTTATACTCATGCCTTTTATATTTGTTTGAATTTGGTGCATATTTCCATTGAATAAAGTATAGTCACCATTACCATTATTATACTTACTCTATAATAAAGACAGTAACGAGTTAAATAAATGTAGTTTTCATTTTATTCACTTCCTAAAAGCTTGCTTTAATGGAACAGATTCCTGTTTTTTCTAATTTACATAATAAGACATCACTTTTACCGGAAAAAAAAATTAAACAATTATAAAGTTTTTTCTCTTTCTGTTCTATTATATCTATAGAATAGATCCTGTTTTGATTAATATTAGAGTTGTAAATGTTTGACTAAAATTAATATTTTATTAAATTAATAATTTATCATCAATTTCAAAAATTAAATAATTTCGATTATTAAAATTTCTTCTATAACACGTACTTTATTATTTTTATCGTTTTTAGACTCTAAGACGTATTTTTTCTAAGTCCTAAACTTTGCTTTATATTAAACTATTTTCTTTATCCTAAATCTTAATAATATAAAAAAGTTTAAATACGATATATTTTAATTGAATTATAGCTTCATTAAAATTAAAAAAAATACCCGCCTATGATACGGAGAGTGCAGGTGCACTGAAGAAACAAAAGACAGTGTTGCGTTGGGCGGCAGAGCCGTCAGGAAACGACCGTTACGACGGAGACAGCCTATCTATCGCTCGTGTCGCACTCGTTAGAGCCAAAAACAATAACACAACAATAACAAGACGTTGTCTGTCCGCATCTTCCAGCTATTTATGAATGAGATGCTCAGTCTATATTTTATTCTAAGTCTATGGTTATAGCCAATCTTATCTTTCTTGACTAATTTCACTTAGATTGCATGGTATTCTTATTCTGTTATGATTTATAACTTATAAAAAGTCAGAATATATTACTAAACGGTACACAATTACAATTTACATTACACAAACTAAAACTTAAAAAAATAATATCACTACATACACTTTAAGTTATTTTAGAAAATGTTCAAAAAATCCGCCATTGTTTTGAGTTGCATTTTTTTAAAACTGAATTACTACTTATTTTCATAGAAGGACCGGTCGACTTAATTAAACTTCGAGTGCCTCTCTTAATTCCTAAGTTCTTTTGTAAACCCTTATTGTTAACTATACCGTGTAAAAAAGTCTAAAATGGATAGGTCAGGTGATCGAGGATGCCCATGCAATTAGTCCACCTCTTCCTATCCCTGCGTTTGTATAATTATTGTATAAATAATTTTTAAAATTTCTTTCATTATGAAGTGTGGGGGGTGGTGTGTCATACTGAAAGTCATGTTGGAACCGCTCTATTGATGGGCGAGTATCTACACGCTTTTCTTCATTTGAAAAATTTATATTTACAATTTTTGTATATCATAATTTACAAAGTTTGGATATGACAGCTTAACATTTCTGAGAGCAACGACGATTGAACTTGTTTTCATGGCTAACTAAGTGAAATTGTTTAAAAATGATAAGAATTGGCTATATCACAGTAATTTTTCGAAGAAAAGATATTATAGCTTATATCATGAAAAATCTTAAAAAATAGCGCTTTTTATGAAGTCATGGCCAACTATGGTTTCCATTAAAAAAAAACATATGTTTGTGTCATATATCAAAAATGACAGGCTTTAGAAAAAAACGGAGGACACGGTCTCATTAAGGATGTGATTATCTACAACTTTTTTCAAAAATCTGAAAGGCGAATATTTATGACCCCACAAAACTGTAATTCTTTCCCCATTTAACCGACTCTCTATCTCCAGTAGATTTCGATATACCCATAGAGAACATCGTAGGAAACTCACCCTGTATATTTTTCGGCCTAAAATTTTAATTTATTTTGTAAAAATTACATACACAAAAGAAAGATAGACAATGGGCCAGTCAAAGTCAAAGACAAAGATAATCAGATAGTCGAATGTCGCTGACGTGTCTTCAACAAAAATGAAGCGAGTTTACTTATCCTTGAAGTCCACACACAATATTTTACTTGAAACTTTTTGACTGAACAGATTAAATTGACAGGTAAAACGTCATGTGTAGATGGGGCTTAAGGCTTGTGAAACATCAGCATTTAAAAATTTGCACAATATTGATACCTCTATGGGTATAAACATTTTCCTGTTTTTTACCATACATTATCTACAAAAAAGTAAAACAACAGTTGGCAAGAATTATCTCTTTATTTTACAAGGCGATATACATAAATCTAACAACAAATTTTAACAAAATAATAAAAAAAAACAAGCATTAGTGAAGAACTCGATCGTATCTACAATATACAAACTAAAGTTAATCAGTTCTGTGTTAATTTCTTAAAGAGCAGAATAGCTATAAAATATTTTTTAAACATTTCTGCAGAGATTGTTTTTATATACAAAAATAAAAAAAAACAACTAAATTATCACCAACTAACTTTAAAGAAAAAATATAGCACCATAAGTAATAAATTTGGATTCTCGAAGGGATGAAAATACCAAAACTAGACATAATAATAGTTATTAAGGGTGTTTTTAGAGTATATAACAATAATTGTTGTATATGTACATTATTGGTGGATTTTGCATGTCTACATTTACAGGTTGACCTAAAATATTTTCTTTTAAAATATTCAAGTTTCTTGAACACTTTATCATTAATAAATATTCAAGTACAGTAAAATGTATTTATCGTCGTTATTGTTTAAGTAAAAATGTTATGAATATAAAGCCTCTAACTAGGCATATCTTGTTACAGTCATTGTTGTATTAAAATAGTTTTTATTCCATCATTATTAAAAAGCATTGATTAATTTTTTCTCATCTTGTAATTCAATAAAACTGAATTATAAATTGTTGTTTATGTTTATACATAAGGGCTATTAGAACTACTTGGTAAATAATCCTGTCCAGGAGTTCAAGTAATAGGTACATTTTTGTGTGAAAAGAATTAAGTACTATAAAATACGAATTTTTAAAATAATTATGAGATTCTATTTTGTCAAAAAATAAGGGAATATGTAACTAAACTTGAGTTGGTTTGAATATTTTAATTTTTTCACTTGGTATATACAGGGTGGTCCAAGTTAAATAGGATAAACTGCAGGAAATAAAGAATGTAAGTATAAGTTCAATCAGATGTATGTTGTTTTCATCGTACTCTGTCAAATTATAATGGATACAATTTTTTATTTTGTTACCTATTCATAACTCTGTTAATTATTTCTGAATAAAAATAGTATATCCCTACTGTAAATATTTATTTATAATATTTTTTCGAAATAAAATAATTCATATTATAAATTTTATATTCCGCAAATCCCAGCTCATATTTTTTCTATTAACGTATATATCTAAAATTGGACGACCCTGTATAAAATAAATTCTGTAATTGGACTAATACAAATAGGCAAAACTTCAATAATACATTCAATAGCGTCTAACATTGACCTCAAATTCATTTCAATTTTTTTATATTTTTTTCCTGCGAAGTATACGTAAATTTTTTACAACCTGTTTCTAGATTACATACAAAAGTCTTAAAATTATTAAAGCTAATACAATATTTTTAAATTAGTAACAGTTATATATCTAAACCTACAAACATTTTATAAAAATTATTTAAATAGTCTTTTATTAACCACTTCTTTTTGTTCCGATTTAGGCGGTAGTTATATTGAATCCAAATTCATACAAAAATGTGTTTATAAGACTTTGTAAGAAGTCGTAAAAATAAAACAAATGAATGTAACTGGTTATATCACAGCCCTTTCATAACCAGCCTGTCGAGTTTTACGACTACGAGTAAAAAGTACAACCGGATGAGACAAAATTAATATTGAACATTGATCACTTTTAAAAGCAAGTTACTTTCATGCCTCTTCAAAATACAAACTTTACCAACATCTCAAGCAAAGATTTTCCTGTTCATGAATGAAGATCTTTGTAGCATTGCAGAAAAATAACTTCCTTTAATATTCTCTATAGTCATTTTTTTCGTACGGATTTGGATTCAAGGTACTCCTTAAGCAGTTTCTATGGCACTTTCAGTAAAGAATTTCGTCGCACAAGCGAATAATCTCAATTCTACAATTTTGTCGTCGCTTGTAATTTTACATATCGATTATGTTGCACGTTATCGTCACATTCCGGTGGTAAAAAACACTGATGCGTCTGCAGTTTTGGCTTCAGCAATATTTTCCTTACGCCCCAAATTAAAGCTATCACCATGAGGCACAAGATCAGAAATATCGTCACGAAAGCTATATCCAAACCCGTGAATCTATGAAACTCTCTCTTATATACCGTGACGCATCTGGGCTTGGTAATATCTACATACGCATCACCTGGAATGATATTAACGCAGACTCTGTAAGGTCCGGCATTTAACTCATCAAAAGTATACTTTGGATTAACACACTCAACTTTTCTTTGAGACAACAAAGTATTTTGATCTAAGAGGGCTATGTTCAGTACACACCTCGAGCTGTGTGGATAGATCATGACGTCTATTGAAAGACTTCCGTAATTTGACAGGTTGGCTTGTAAAGATAAGATTTTTGGCATGGGGGACACAAAACTATCCTGGTGTATTACGGGATTTTGGATTAAAGGGATCATGTCAGAACAGCCGAGAATTAAAGATACATCGTCGGATTTTTCTGAGCCAAACAACGCTACACAGTAGCGATATCTATGTTCTTGTTGCAAAGTCGTCGGTACTGATACCTGAAGGGATTTTGCATCTGTCATGTCGGAAGAATTACATTTGATAGGGTACGATTCTAGGAGTATTTCGTTAGGACCTTCTTCTTCGTAAATGAAGATAGCGTCACAAGAGTAAGGTGTTGCTTCATCTTCAACGTTCCAAACAAGATTTATCTCTTTTCCGTTGTAATTTAGGTTCTGTAAACTAACTTTGGCTCGGTAAGGTGTGGATAAAGGTGCCATAATCGTTTCTTGCTCATCTTCGCCGCACAATAAAGCATCTGGTGGTACTTCTATTAAGAGTCCATTCTCTAAAGATGGGGGTGTGGTGCATATTGCAGTAGCTTTGTCTTCTGTTGGTAAAGTAGTGTTTATTAACCAGTTACTAAATTCTATAAGACTACAGTCACAGTTAAGAGGATTTTCCAACAAAGTCAGATGTTTAAAAATTGAATTTGGTTTCAAGGCATCACTAGCCACGATCGAAATATCATTCTCATCCAACTTCAGAACCTTTAAAGACTTCAACGGTTGAATTAAATCTGCTGTCAAAGCTCTAAGAAAATTGTGCCTTAAATCCAAATCAGTTAACTGATTAAGATGTGCCAGAGATGCTCCAGACACAGCAACAATTCTGTTATGCGCTAAGTCCAAGTTCACCAATGCGGTTAAATGAATAAAAGCGTGATCTTCAATTACATCAATTAGGTTGTGTTGTAATCTTAATGAGGTTAAGTTAGTGAGTCCTTGAAGTGCTCCCATTTTGATGCTACTAAGTGAATTGTGTGATAACTGTAAATCTTTCAGAGATTCCATTTTGGGGAATGTTTTTGGACCTAAAGGTCCAACTAACGTGTTCTCGGACAAATCCAAATCTTCAATAGTTGATTGAGAATTTAGTTTTGTTATACCGGCCAAGGTAATCTTGTTTCCTCTGAGCCGAAGGATCTTCAGTTGGGGTAAACTGTCGAAAGCGTTCGGTGATATTTTCGTAATCAAGTTGTTGCTGACGTCGATGAAAGATAAATTGCGCAAACCCTGAAACAAAACGTAAACTTGTAAATTTTTCATTTTTAATCTTGTGATTTATTATTGAAAGGGAGGTAGAGGTTGAGGAGAAACGATAAAATGGAGGACGAATAGAAAAAGGTATAAAAAGAAGTGGTCGAGTTTCAATTTGTAAAAGGCCTAAATAATTCATCAGCCCGAGCTTTCAAAGATTAACCATTCGTGGCAGCTGCGGCTGTTGAAATTAAAAGGTAAAATAAAAGACTTTTAGTCAGATTGGCAATTGAAATTCAAAAGTTCTGTTGAAAGTTCGACTTTCGGTTTCAGAGAAAACTATGCAAGTAATTATTTTTGGAGCACGAAAACAATAAAATTGATTTATATAAAGTTTTTTTATACAAGGTATTTCGAAAAATATGTGCCATCTCTCGTGGGGAGATTCCTTACGTAAAAATAAGATTTATTTTTCTTATCCGATTCTGCTTTGTTTCGTAGCTATAGGGTGTTAAAATTTTAATATTTTTTCGATTTATTATAATTTTCTTCCAAGTACTTTAGAGTTTCAAATGAAATTTTGAGGATAAAAGTTACTATAGGTTGCCTTGATCCAAGTCAAAAAAAAAAAACTTTAATATCATTAACTTGTGAAAGTTTTAAATAAGTAGTCATTGATTCCTCATTAAAAATATAAAAAAAGTTCCTATAAACATGGGTATGAAAATATATAGTTTAGAGTTACAGGATGTTAAAACTTTTTAAAATTAGGTTTTTTGTAATTATCTTAAACACCATTATTTTTTTATTTTAAATTGCTGTAGGTTGGAATAATAGTAATAATATCTAATAATGATAATATTTTATAACAAATTAGATAAAATATATAATTTATTAATTTTTATTTTAATTTTATTAATTGTGATTAATAAAATTGCGTTTATCTCATTAAGGAGGCCGAATTGGACAAAATATCAAAAGATAACTTTTAATTGGCATTAATAGTCAGAGGCGCACGTGTTTTTTTTTGAAAAATATTCCAATGATAACCCATATGCACGCCCCTGATGAATTTATCTCCACTTTGTTAGCATTAAAATATGTAGCACTGACCCTCAAAATTTCATTCGAATCACTAAAAGTACTGGGAAGAAAATTATAATAAATCGAAAGAATATTAAGAATTTAACACCCTGTAGCTACAATAGAAAGCAGAATCGGACCTATGTTGGTATGAAAAATACATCTTTTTTTTACGTGAGGAAATTCCCCACGAGAGTGAGCACATGTTTTTTGAAACACCCGTATATCTGATTAAAGCTTGATTTTCATGCATCCGTTGTCCGACGATACGATGATCCGATATTAATTTTATTGGTTGAATTTAAAGGCTTCGTTACTAACCAACCAAAGTCTTTAAATTGAACCAATAAAATTAATATCGTATCATCGTATAGTCGGATAACGGATGCATGAAAATCAAGCTTAATTCTATTAATAATAGAAAGCCTTAAAAACTAATGTTAGAGATGGATTTTTGCAATGCAGAATTTTTTTGAAAGGAAAATGAAAAGGGAAATTTTTATTAGTTACAGAAAAAGAAAAATATACTAAAGTGGTGTTATGGAAGAAATGGGTTACAGGCATAGATTTAGGAAGAACAGATATCACATTATGCATTTTAACCCGATCAAACATTCGGAGGTTGACTACGTACTGTAAAAATCAACTGAGATAGAGAAGGCGACATTGCCACATATCAAATTTGCGCCTATCTACTTAGTTTGATTTGCAGAAAAGGTGACTTTAAAACCTTCACCGGATATCAATAAATCTCAATTTCTTAATTAAATTAATAGTTTATTTTTAAAGAAGCATCCGTAATAATATGTTATTAACCAGAGCATATATGCGTTACTATTAAAAGACATGTTTACTGTTTAATGTGCTGAAACCACAGGCTGAAACGTCTAGAACTACTGGCAACGTCGCTGCTAGTCTTCCAGAATGAAATGAGCCGTCCGTCCCACCACCCCTCGCGACGGCCTATGGTCCGTTATAGCGTACTACGTTTAGCTTACGGTGTGTTTGAAGTCGGAATCAAGTCCGAAGTGAACTTTTCAGTGTTTTTCAGTAGTTTTTGTTTTTGTTTAATGTACTTTTGAATCTGCGAATTTTCAATATGGTACGACAGTGCCAAATGTGTGGACAAATAAGCTCAAATTACCCGAATTTGTCTTTTCACAGGTAGGTATTGTTTCCGCCGCGCCGTAATCGTACATAGGCGTCCCACAAGGGAGCCTTTCACAATTAAAATAATTTCTAATTATATTTGTTGAATTTTGATCTATTAAAACAAGAACGTAGTAGCCGGTAATTGAATTATAATTCGTCTCAATTACTACCTAACTGTTGTAGATCATAAAAAATTTGAATATAAACGTTACATTTGAAACTTTATTATAAGCCAGAAAGTGACATTTTTTTCTTAAAATTGCGTCTTATTTTGGTCATTATATACGATATTCTAAAGGAATTTTGCTCAATAAATAAACAAAGGTGTTTACCCGACCTTTTTTACATTTTATTGCTTTATTATATCTGCCCCTTCGGCATTGTTTAGACAATTTTTTACCACCGTACAAATACATCTTCCTAGAGTTACTAATTAGGTACTAATTTTGAAAAGTTCTTTTTAAGATAAAAAAAGGTAAATATAAAACCTAAACTATCATTTGAGATTAAACGGGAAGTTCTAAATAATGTTGCCTATTCTAAACAAGAAAAATTTATTTATAAGTTAAGTTTTATAACATTCCTAATTGAATTTGGGCGAAAAGAATATTTCTGTTTGCTGTAGGTAATTTTCTCAGGGAAAATACGTAAATAAAAATGACTTTTTAAGTCAACAAAAGTCAAAAGGATAAGTTATTCCAAAAAAGGACAAGTGGCAACCCTAGGTATTTCTGGCATGGAAATTTAATGGCAAATCTACAACTGTGGTTTGAAAATATGTTCCGGCCACCTATGTTTACAAAAATGTCTAAAATGTGCTTAAATGCCTCCATATTCTGAAAAAAAAATTGAAAGAAAAGTCACCAACCACAAACCTAATATAGAACTGTTTCGGAAGCCTGAGTCACCCTGTAAATATTCAAAAGTAACTGAAAGTTTATATAGAAGTAACTGAAAGTTTAAATTGAAAATCGACGTTGGAGTGATTTTCGAAAACTACTAACGTTTCAACATAAGTATATGTGGGATATTAATTGTATTATTATATTAGACCACCATAGAAACTCATCTGACGAAAAAGTGTTAATGTAGTATATTAATATGGAGTAAAAATTTTACTAATTACTTTACTTTTACTTTACTAATAAAATTGGTTCCAAAAAACGATACGCCACTGGCCATTAGAACAATCCCAAATGCGCCTAGTTGCCGGGGTCGGAAATTTTAGACTTCTCTGTCTCTTCTGTCCTTGTTTGACACATTGGAATGTTTGATACACTACCAACGAGTATTTATGAATGAGATGTTCGGTCTATCTTTATAATGTCTTTGGTTACAGGCTATAAAATATTTATTTTCTGTTGCTCTGTTCATTTTTTATTTTCTGTTCATTTCACCATCCAAATTGACCTGTTCCAAACCAAACCAACAATTAAAAATGTAATTGAAGGATTCGAGGCAACAGTTATCATAAGTTACAAACGTAAAAAGAAGAATAATATTGATAGGTATCACCGAATAAACTAAGTATTCTATTAAAACTAACTGGAAAAAGAAAAACAAATAACTACCAGAATTGTTTGGAGAAAGAGTCGAAAAACTTCGTACGAATGGCGAATTTTGAAGAAGCATAACTTTAGGTCATTTAAATATTCTTCAATTTCAAATTTTCTTCATTTCTCCATTTTATAAATATCTAGTATGTACCTACTTAATTTTGTGAATTGTTTAGTGTTTAATAAATAAATTTTCTGATGATACATTTTATTTACTTATCTGCGAAATATACAGGGTGTTTCAAAACAAATGCGAAAAACTTCAGGAGGTGATTCCTTGTTCAAAATAAAGGGTAGTTTGCTTCATGAACGTTGGGTCAAAAGTCAACCATTAGGGAGATATCGCGGTACAAAGATGGCGGAAAAATAATGTTCTTATTTTTTATCTTGAAAACGAAAAGAGATAGACTAATAAAATTTTATGGAATCATTACTGTTATGAAAACACACTTTCTAGTATTTTTTTCACTTTTTTAAAATGAGTGGAAGGGGTTGAAATAAACTACCCCTATCATTCTTGTTAACGAAATTTGAAGAAAAATCTTATCAAATACATGCAAAAAAATTAATTTGCATAGTTTAGTTTGTTTAGAAACTTTTTTATCTCTTGTATTTTTTTTATAAAGCTCACTGATTTGAAATTAAAAAATAAAATGTAAAGCATTACATGTCAGGACTAAAAATATTTTTAGATGAAGAATCTAGTGATAACAATGATAATAATAATAATCTAGATAACAACGTATTGCAGTAGGGTAATGTCAAATAAAACAATATTAGAAACATCCTAAAAAGTGACAGCGGCCGACTAGATTTTTTCCTAAATAAATTACAGCTGCCCACTAGATTCTTTATCTAAAAATGTTTTTTGTCCTGACATGTAATGCTTTACATTTTATTTTTTAATTTCAAATCGGTGAGTTTTATCAAAAAAACACAAGAGATAAAAAAGTTTCTAAATAAACTAAACTATCAAAATTATTTTGTTTTGCATGTGTTTGATAAGATTTTTCTTTAAATTTCATTAACAAGAATTATAGGGGTAGTTTATTTCAACCCCTTCCACTCATTTTAAAAAAGTGCAAAAATTACCAGAAAGTGTGTTTTCATAACAGCAATGCTTCCGTAAAATTTCATTAGTCTATCTCTTTTCGTTTTCAAGATAAAAAATAAAAACATTATTTTTCCGCCATCTTTGTACCGCGATATCTGCCTAATGGTTGACTTTTGACCCAACGTTTATGAAGCAAACTACCCTTTATTTTGAACAAGGAATCACCCCCTGAAGTTTTTCGCATTTGTTTTGAAACACCCTGTATATGATTTTTTAAAGATTCTATTATGTTTGCACTTTGCAGCATACTTTTTTGTAATTTTTCATAGCGAATATCATTTTAAATATTTTTGACAAATAGAAGATAAATGGAAGAAAATCATAATAGATATAACTCAAACACGAATTCCTATAAATTGTGCAAAATAAACTGCTTCATTTTAAGGAGTCCTTTAAAAAGTTTCAAATAAATATTTCTCTAAAATAAAATCGGGAACTTTTATTCATAATTTCAAAATTTACATGGGATTTCCTGTCCAGCTCGACGATGCAACACACGGTATATTTCCTCTATGCCAGAGTAACCAAAAGATCGGCTGTATCTCGGGAGGCGATATAAGAGATACAAGGATGATACAAACTTTTTTATAATAATTACTCACTTTAAATGATTGCCCATCCAACATTTTCAACTTGTTCCCGGACAAATCCAACCTGTCTAATTCCGGCAGCGATTCAAGCGCCTTAATAGGTACAGTATATAGCTGGTTGTTGGGCAGACCCAGTGCCTGGAGTGGAGACGCTAACCCCTTGAAAGCCGAGGCGTCTACATCACCTATTTCCCCGGAAGAGATCACCAAGCCGTGGAGAGAGATGCCCTGAAGAAGGGGACCGTAGATAACCGAAACATTCTGCACGGTGCAATCCAGAAGAGAGATGGATGCGTTGGGGTTAGAGCGTAGCATTTGACCTGGAAAGAAATAATAGTGATAAAAAATTCACCTAATAATGTATAATATGTGGATGTCATAATATAATGAAATCCGTCATTTCCTGAAATGCCTGGGCCTTTCAGGTATTGCCGATAAGCGGCGTAATTCACGTTTGACTGTGGATCTAAGGCTTTCTCTGTAATTGTATTGTTAAAATACCGGAATTAATTGTATACTTTCCGGTACCCCGTTAGTTGGTTTTATTTAAAGAATGTAGGTACCATGCGATCGATAAAAAAACTGCGTCAAAGACGGCTGGAGAATGATAATCGATGATAATTTTGGCGAGATCAAGCCCTAGACGCCCTTTACCCGGCCTGTACTCTTCTTTTTTTAATGGCGTTTACTACCTGTTTGCCTTAAGAAGGTTGCTTTTTACTTCTTCTAGTTTGTCCAACATACTTGCATTGATTGCAATCTTGACATGCAATTTCATAAATACTCGACCTTTCCAGTGAAGGTGTTTTGTCTTTATGAATAATAATAATGTTTTATCTTTATATCTTATAAAGAGAAACTATTCACAGTTAGCCTGGGCCAAGATGTCAAGAAAAAAAATATATAAACTTTGAGTACTTTATTTTTTAAATGCCGATACCACTGGCTTCAAAAAAATATAAAAATTAAAATCGCCGACGTACAATTGGGGTCTCTACACAAATTTAAAAAAAAAACTTTTTCAACCAAAGTAAAAAGCGCCCAAAAAGTTTTGTTAATAATAAATAACGACCATCATCACCAAAAGGTATGCTTACTGTTGCCCCCCTCCCTGTTTCTAAATCCAGGAGGTTGGGTCTCTGAACAAATTTAAATAAAAATAGACTTTATTCTAATGGAAAAAGCAAAAAAAAATTTTTTTTTCTAATATTTTAGTAATAAAATTTTACTTTATGATCATAAATATTATTAAACAAGTAAAACTGCAAACTAACAATTCAGGAAGTACAATTAATAACTTTAACACACACTGAATTTAGTCTAAAAAGGAAGAAAACAATTAGGTACTAGCTATAAGTAAATAAATAAATTTTAAACATGGTTACTGTTGTAGGAAGCAACACTCCTAAAGAGATTTTTTTGACCAATTTGCCTGCCTGGCCAGGTGGAAATACCATTTGTTTAAAAAACGTGAACTTACTGATGATTTCCATTTAAAACTGGGCATAGATAGTGGAGGTGGATCTTTAAAAATTTGTCTGTCTTTATGTTGTTACGAAAATCCCGAAATAAAACAAGAAACACATAAAAGTACCGGAATAAACAAACTTATTATAATAGGATTGGCTCCCAAAATAATAGAAACCTAAAAAAATATCAGAGCAATGTTTGAGATTTTGCAACTCCATACTATTTGTGGAGTCAGTTCTTACACATTTGCCGCAGATCTAAAGTTGATAATGATTATATTGGGCCTTCAATATTCATCATCATGCCATCCATGTGCCTGGTGTGATGTTAACTCAAAAAATTTACAGTCAAGGGGAGAACTAAGATCCATAAAAGATATTTCCAAATGGAGTACATTATGGAACGAGAAGACAGGTGGAAATTTAAAAGAAACAAAAAACTACAGTAAGTGTACTGCTAAGTTTACTTTATTGACTTTTTTAATAGTTATTTTTTGCAAATTTTAATTAAAATTTTTAGAGAATTGTGTCAACATTCCTTTAATAACTGACGATCTTCCAATTATCAACTATATATTTATTTAGATGGGAGTTGTACAAAAAATATACGATTCTCTAAAAAAGGACTTTCCGGAAATTGCTGAAAGCTGGCTAAGAATTTCTGGGCTACAATTAGACCATTACAGCAGATTTAATGGAAATAATGCCAGAAACTTGCTTAAAAAAGTTGACGTCCTTAAAGCACTAGATCCTGGTACTTACTTTGTAACAAAACTTTATTTTATTATTGTTATTTGGACACTAAGCCCTTTGCTAATTTTTTTAGACATCAAATACATAGAGGTATTTTGTGCCTTCAATGATGTGGTAGCCAGCTGTTTTGGAAAATATATTGATACCAATTACGAAGCCTATATACTGAAATTTTCCGACAAAATAAGAGATACGAAAATCAGGTTTACTCCAAAAATTCACGCTGTTGTTCACCATATAGTGGATTTTGTTAGTATTTCACAGAAAGCATTCGGCTTTTACTCTGAGCAAGCCTCAGAGCAGGTGCATCATTCCTTTAAGTTGTTCTCAAAAAACTTTAATTCAAATCCGACATCAAAAACATCTCCTTAGGAGTGTTGCTTCCTACAACAGTAATCACGTTTAATATTTATTTATTTACTTATAGCTAGTATCTAATTGTTTTCTTCCTTTTTAGTCTAAATTCAGTGTGTGTTATTAATTGTACTTCCTTAATTGTTAGTTTGTAGTTTTACTTGTTTACTAATACTTATGATCATGAAGTAAAATTTTATCGCTAAAATATTAGAAAAAAAATATTTTTTTGCTTCTTCTATTATATTAAAGTCTATTTTTATTTAAATTTGTTCAGAGACCCAACCTCCTGGATTTAGAAACAGGGAGGGGGGCAGCAGTAAGCATACATTTTGGTAATTATGGTCGTTATTTATTATTAACAAAACTTTTTGCGCGCTTTTTACTTTGGTTGAAAACGTTTTCTTTTAAATTTGTGTAGAGACCCCAATTGTACGTCGGCGATTTTAATTTTTATATTTTTTTGAAGCCAGTGTTATCAGCATTTAAAAAATAAAGTACTCAAAGTTTATATATTTTTTTTCTTGACACCTTGGCCCAGGCTAACTGTGTATTATAAGATATTTATTTTTACCAAATATATTTATACCAAACCAAACCAAACCAAACCTAATAGTTGTTTTAATTTATTACTAGCATTATACATAAGTTTATAATTGACATTCTTGAAAATTATTTTTAAACCACGGGATAACTATGAGAAAGAAAGTCCATAATTACTACATTGTGACGATCAACAACGAGTGATGACGATCAACACGCTGAAGGAAGCTATAGGAACTACCATCAAGGCCAAGCAGCAAGAGATGTGGCAACACTGTCAGGACTGCACTACAGCTCGAAAACTGTGGCCAGTAGTAGATGGCTAGTTAATTGAAGGTGTCATCACTGAAAACTGTCGTGAGATGGAAGATTTCCAACGACGACTACTGCAGAGAATGCGGAGATGAAGAAGAAACCATAGGGCACCTGCTGTGCTACTGTCCGGCACTGGAATACCGACGCTTTAAAACTTTAGGGCAAGGTTTTTTGGAGGGACTAGAGGAAGCAGCAGAAGCCAACATCAGCGACATCGGGAACTTTGCAAAGAGCTGGAAGTGCTTTAACGCAAAGAAAGAATGAGAGGAAGGTTTGGTACAAATACAGGGGTATCGTAATGGGCCCAAGGCCTCCGAGTGAGGGATCAAACATGATCCCAAACCCCAGCAATATAACCCCTTAATTAAATAATTGTTCTGATGATGCAAATAAATTTTGCGAAACGTCGAAAAATCTAAAAGAAAGGCTTATGTTATATCAAAAAAAACAGTAGGTATATTATATCATTTTGGATCGAAAACACTAGAAATTACATAATATATAGTTTGCCTAACTAATTATTGTTTTGTTTTAGTAAATTTATCGGAAACCCACCACTTCAAAGACCTTCGAGCTTACTAATATCGACATCCTGGTGAGCCACACAGCGAGAACCTATCGATCTCCAAACTCATTTCCGATCATTAGCGAATGGATTGGAAAAATAAACACGCTGTGAGAACGAGAGGTCTGCTCCGCTATCGACATTTAATTAACAACGTTCGTTAGGCTTTTTTCCTGTGGCGAATACAAATAAAAAAAAGAAAATGAAATATGATTTCGGCAGATGAAAACCAAAAAAGCCTTTGTTTCCCACAAATACGAAATACGAACTTTTTCGAGCAATTAGTATATTGACGCGTATAACTGTGATAATCTAAACTAGCGATGGGAACTATCGAATGAATTAGACTATCGAATGGTTAATGAATGAATGATTTCAACTATCGAATGGTTTTATTCGAATAAAATCATTCATTCATTTGTATACTAAAGCATATGTGACAACCTCGCCGTGCGACTAAATGGTTATCGTTGAGCCACGACTATCGAATGCTTTTGATAAATGAAATTTATTTATTGATTTATTCGTTTGATTTTTGTATGCGTCAGTGCATTATTAGTTCTTCCAAATTTTTATAACTTCGCCGTATAAATACTGTGCTATTTTTGCGTTTATTAAAATAGTTAAAATACTAAAATAGTAGTTATTTTTTAATTTTATTTATTGACGATTGTGTGCATGTGCAGGTGGTCAAAATTTTTCCGAAAATTTGTGTGGTTTTCCGTAGTCCGATCTTTCAATTATTTAATTTTATATGGTATATGGTCTATTTTTTAATGGGAAATTTTGAGAAGTAGCAATTTTTAAGAGAGATGAGATGAACTTAAATTAATTTTAAAAGTACATATTTGTATTTTAGATGTTTTAATAATATGAATTAGTTGAACTTAATAATCATATTAAAGTAATGTGGTTAAGTAAATGGTTATCGAACTCAAACTATGGGGTGAGAAAATTAAAATGAAAGTTTTACACGTGCCAATTTAAAAAAAAAGTTAACGATGTTTGTATTTTGTTTATGCTAATTCTCTTACATGTAGTTTTTGCGAAGAAATATTTCATTTATTTTTTAAAGTAAATGCCAGTAAAAGTAAATATAATTTTTAAATAGTAATATAAAGCACCTAATATAAATAATTTTGATTTCTAATTTTTTATTTATATTTTCCTTCCATTACACTGCATGCTTAGAAAATTAATAAATGTTTATATTTCATGATTTTAAAATTTGTTGTTAATATAACAAATTAGTTGTGTAATTATTATTATTTAATAAACCAACGTTGCCACACAAAAAATTTAGAGACTATATTATTTTTAAATAGGATCTAATATAAATAATTTTGACATCTAATTTGTTGTTTATATTTTGCTACTACTTAAAAAAAATATTTATATTAAATGATTTTAAATTTTGTTGTTAATAGGTATAACAAATTATTACTGTTATTATTATTTATTAAACCAGTTTTTGCTTAAAAACATTAAAAATCATTATCCTACATCCAAAATAATAAGTATTATTGCAGTGTAACAACAGAATATTAATAGAAAAAATGCAGAATATATAGACATACTATCCCTAACTAACTAAAGCCAAACAATAATATTCTTTGCTGATATCAACTAATACCAAAATATGGCAACAGCGCCCTTCATAATGTATTTTCTGTGTAAATACTAGCACCTCAATAAAAAAAAAATAATGTGTCCTTATCTATATCTGACTCCCCAAAAAATCAAAGATGCCGGTTTCTTTCATAGCATTGCCACCGACCGCTGTCGGGCTTCTCGGAAAGAAACCTACGTCGCCGGGCGACAACTAAAATTCAGTTAATATTTTATTATAATCGATCCTGACGAATAAATGAATTTCATAAATGAATGAATTTTATAAGTGAATGGTTTTTGCTGCCGAATTACTAGAATACAATATTTCAAGGCAGATGACGGATCTATTCGATAATTTTTATTCGAGTAGTTTTCAACGAATGTTTTCTTACTAACTATCGAATGTTTCGATAGTATTCATTCGATACTTCCCACTACTAATCTAAACACATGCTGAATTGAATTTTACAAATTATGTTTCATTTGTTGAATTAAATCAATCAATCAAAAAAAGAACATTTAAAAAATTATTAAAATTGTTTTTTCTTTAAACCATTTTAACGGTTGAAGCAAAAACCACATCAACATGAAGCAAAAACTAATAACAAAAAAGTTTGCAAGTTTATATACAAATCTGTTATAAATTATGTCTGCTTCCCAATCAATAGAAATTACTTTTGGAACTTTCCCAAGACGTATTGTAGTCCGCTATGTAGGTCGACCTAAATTAGGTCACTGCAAATAGAATTTCCTTTGCGGAAAGGCAATGGGCACTTTGTTAAATCCGGAAAGCTAAGTAATCAAACACAAACCTTAGCTCTAACCCTAATCTGTTCCTAATTCGTATAGATGAACAAAGGAAATTATTTGTGGCCTTAAAACAATCTCAATTTTTGTATTTATGTAATAAACTGTACGAGTTGTTATATTGGAGTCTAGAAATGTAGAAATATTAAATACAAACTAGCAGTAACTAGCAGACCCGCCTATACGCGTTGCTGTGGCTAAGGTACGTTAACTACCGACGCGACGGCGACGTACTAAACTACGAACTACCGAAGTACCCATAATTTATAGCCTATGTAATATGAAATATGAAATTCTAATTAAACTGTAAGTTTCATTAAAATCCATTCAGTAGTTTTTGCGTGAAAGGGTAACAAAGATTCTTACATCCATACATACAGGGTGGCGCCTCTCATACACCGCGGAAGCTCCAAGGAGTTTATATCGAAATGAAATTTTGGCAGCATATGTAGGTTAATTGAAAGCATTTTTTAAAAATATATAGAATTATACAGGGTGCCCCAAAAAAGTTACACATCAAAGTTGTGTTTTTTCTAATGGAACATCCTATATATTAATTAATTTCTAGGATTCTAGGAAAAAAATAAAGGTCGGTTTTATTAAAGAAGCATATACCTAAAATCTAAGGATTTTGACATATTTCACATTTTGTGAAAATGAAGAGTAAATTTTAAATTTCGATAACAGCTACCTAAATTTTCGTTGACCTTGTATAGCCTGCTATTTAATTATATTAACCATTGTATGTTAAACCAAGCAAGTTTTAAAAGCAAGTTACTCCTTTATTTTAAATGGAACACCCAGTATATTTTTCCGGTATTCAATGGGGAATTTATATATCTTCAAAATATTATTAAGGTTGCCTACCCCTCAGACAAAGATTTTCCTAGATATTTTAATTTTTGTGATTCTCCATCAGTAGATCTTTATTATTTGAAAAAATCAAGGCGGATGTGTGATATACCTTTTGTTAATTTAACAAAAATTAAAGATTGTAGAGTAAAATACTCAACGGAAATAAAAAGATACACGTTCAAAACATATTTTAATTATTACAGAATTAAAACTAGATATAAACCTATTGTGACAAAAATTAGCTAAATGAAATCAAATGCTCAAAATGCTTCCTTTCCTGTTGACCAGGGGCGGCTCGTAGCACTGGAAGATGGTGAGGCACATTAGAAGAGAATTTTTATTAGTATGTATATAGGGTGGCCATAGTACGAGGAAGTTCTATATAAAAAAAGTACATATCCTAAAAAAATATTTTCTTTAAAATTGCAATCGCATTACCATTTTTCTGTACAGAATTGGGTTCAGCATAAAATTCAGCATACATCACACTATTGATTTATTTGAAGCACTATATACCTATGCGGGATTTCCATGATAATTCATATTTGAAAAATTTCATCTTTTAAAAAGTGGTAAAAACCTGGAGTGAATTTAACTTATTGATATATTATTGCTTAAGTACGTATAATATAGCTACGTACCTCGCTATCGGATAAAAGAAGAAATCCGAGAAAAATTCACATTCACAGGGATTTTTTTTATGGCGCGGCCAACATTGCAATATTATAATACTATATCTCAGTTTTTTTTTTAAATGCAATACACACTGTATATTATTTTTAGTATTTTAGATACCTACAGACTTAAAAAGCGCACATTTTTGTATTTAAAATATTTCAAAATTTTTAGCAGTTGCGGAAATAGCCTTATGTAATATAATTCGCAGTATTATACCGTATGATCGAAAAAAAAAACGGCGTCCAGTTGGCTGGGAAATGACGATCGATGACATTTTCCATATAAATTTACATATAAAATGACAGCGATCTTCATTTCATAGCCAACTGCTAAGCTGACGCTAAGCTGACGCCGTTTTTTCTCGATCATACGGTACCTATTACATAGGGCTATTGCAACAGTAAATTTTTATCAAAGCGACCTCAAGATATTTTCTCTTATATTTTACTCTGTATGGTAAAATTTTGTTTTTCTACCCATCCTATAAAAATAAAACAAAATGAAATCTGTAACAGGTCGCTTTACTTTTTGACTATACACAATTTATCTAGAAATGATTCGAAAAACTTTACCTGGGGAAGTCCTCTGATGATGCATGGTCCCTCTAAATCATCATATCAATCAACAATAAGTCACTGCCCACTTTTTAGGTATTTACTTTATATGTACAATAATCAGTAAAAGAGTAATTAAACATGCAATTCACATTAAAAACGTAGACAAAACGGTGTAATAACCTGCAGAATTAATTAAAACTCTGATTCAAACTAAGCCAAATTCCCAAATAATGCAATTCTGCATTTTCAGCCTGTCGCCTAAAATCTCTCGGGCTGATCGGGAACTGATCGGGAAGTGATACATATTTTTAACGAACGGCTTTTAAGGTTCAAATTTACATTTGAGGCCCGCCTCAATATGGTCTTTTTCCACGCCACTACTCCATATATTTTATCTCTCTTCAACTAAAGGTTTTGCCTATGTTTTTTCTTTTCATTCCACAGAGTTAAGATTCCAGTGAACGCTGTCGCTCCGTCAGTGCGATATACCACAATACGCTAGACAAGGAAAGGCGAGAGGCAAACCTCTGCACATATACCTCTTAAAGAACAAATGAGATGGATATACATCGTCGAGTTTGTCGCATAATATGGGATAGGAAGCGCGTTTAAAGGAATACCATCGACGTAATTTATTGTAGAATGACGGTTAAAAAATACAATTATTATTAATGCAAATAGGGAAAAAAATATAAAATTGTGATTAAAGATGTATCGATTAATAAGTGTAATTTTTCAAATGTATTGGTGAGGCACTGCCTCATCTGCCTCATAGGACAATCCGCCCCTGCTGTTGACTGCATAAAATGATTGTCTTTTCAAAGGGACCCTTTCATTTTAAAAGGCATATGTGGAGTTCTACCTTGAAAAGCAGCTACAATAATTTATCTGATGTTGTCGACAAGAGTTGGTCGAGTTTTGTAAACACTGTCTTTAACATATCCCCATAAAAAAAAAAACAGCCTAGATCAAATCAGGAACATTTAAGTATTTTATTAGTTGGTGAATGCACACTGCATTCACAAACTAATAGAATCATATCAATTCTCTCTCATGTAGGATAAGTTTGCATTTTCGGAAAATTTCTGCGAAATTTTTTTGTTTTAACTGACACAAAATGATAACTAGTTGTTAAACTTGGACTAATTAGACAGCTATGTTGAAGTAACGTCAGACATATCACTAGCCACCTAGATTTTATCAAATAATAAGGATCTACTCAGATCGAATCATGTAAATGAAAATATCTAGGAAAATATTTGTCTGAGGGGTAGACAACCTTAATAGTATTTTACAGAGACATGAATTCTCCATTGAATATCGGAATAATATACTGGGTGTTCCATTTAAAATAAAAGAGTAACATGCTTTTAAAGGTGACCAATGTACCCGGTACATCAAAATGAACAATTTGCTTTATTTTAAGGAGTTCTTTGAAGTTTTAAATAAATTTTTATGTAAAATAAAATGGAGAAAACTTATTGATCATTTTTAAAATTTACATGGGATTTCCTATGTCCAGGTCGGCGATGCAACAGACTGTGCATATCGCATTAATACCTGATCAATACTCAAACTCACCAATAATTGTCATCGCTGTCTTATCTCCGGTGCACCTCAAGGTATGCGGCATATCGCAACTGCATTCCACGACGGGCTGTCGAGATATCTCGGGGCAGCGCCATTCCTCGTTGGGGCCGGGGGGAGTATGTCCAGGGGAGGGAATAGCTGACGCACCGCACCACCACACTAGGGATAATGCCAGCCACCACATTCTGGAACAAAAATAATGTCTGTTAGAGTTTTAAACAATTGGGGGTTCATACACTCAATACAATATATCTTTGGCAAGCTTTTCTTCTCTAGGTTGCGTTAATTTTAATGCAATATGAAGATAATCTTATACTAGAAAGGTAGGGTGACCACTACTACTCTTCTACCCAATGACTAAAGAATATAAGGACATGTAACGCCCATATACGGGCTGCAGCAGAATATGTGACCTTAGACGCCATTCTTTTGATGGCAACGAATGAGTCATGATCTGGTCACCAGTGACAATTTTAGCGATTTTTAATAGTTTGTGTGTAGTGAACTTTCTATAAACTTTATTACAGTGGTGATTAGTTGTTCAGCTTTCAAGTGTAAAAGCAGCAGCGATAAGAAAGAGCCAGGAGTTTCGTTTCATAGGTAAATAAACAGTTCGCTCCAACATTTTAGCGTTTTCTTATTGAATTCGATAATTATTTTTCTGATATTATATGTACTTGATGTGTGCTATACTGTGTCGATACTAGTTTTGTACCTTTTGTTAACATTTTAATACGTTTTTTTCGTAATTAATTAGTATGATACCACCGTATACACCATAGGCGTAGTCAAAACATTTATCAAAAAATATAAATATCTCTTCAAACAGCTAGGTTAAGAAAAATATGTGCCACGGCACTGTTTGGTGACATCGCCACAATTTGTTCTCGGGTGTTATTTGTCCTTGGATTCTTTAGTCATTGCTTCTTAACTTTTTTATTTTTATTAAAACAAGTTTCAAAAATCTAGAATAAAAAAATTTAGGTATAAATAATACAGTATAGGGAAATTCTTTTGGTTGGGAAGATAAATTAATAAACAACGATAACAATATTTGTTTAAAAACCTTTCTGTCTTTGTTCAATATTTATTAATGAAATCTTACCGCTACATTGTTTGATGTTATAAAAATACAGTGTGCGAATAGCTGGTTTTATTGGTTTTAGCCATTTGCATGAGTTTAAAAGTCTATTGAGACAATTTTAGAAAATCAATAGCAACCATCTTAGAATATTATTACTGAAATCAATAAAACAGCCGAAAAAGATACAGTTTACATGTTATAAATTTCAGGCAGTTAATTCAAAACAATTCTACGTACTAAAGCTAATTTAAATTGAGCTTTATTATTCTTCCAGTTAATAGGTAATGCTTTTAAGAAGAGCTTAATTACTAGCAGCTGCTCTTTACCACATTAGTTTTAATATGATTAAATCAATAACACTATCTCGCTTTACAATATACTTTTCTTTCACTAGTTTTTAAAACATTATGTATACTTATATTTTAATTGTGATTTTAATGGGATTGTAGTACCTAGTACATACTTTAGCCACCTTTAGCTTTAGGCAACTGTAATCTTTGCTTTAGGTTTGCACTTTAACAAAATTCCCAAGTTTTTTTTATTTTAGGAGGTACAAATGCCCGACGCACTATTGCCGGACCCTGTATACCTCTGTTCAAAGTTAGTCCTCTCATCAAAAAATATGATAAAAAGTTCCTATTAAATATGGGATTTTTAAGTTACAGGATGTTAAATTTAAAAAATATAAGAAAGTATTTTGTAATTACCTTAAATACCATTATTTTTTTAAAATTTGCTACCTTCCCGTTTGGGAGGTGGGTTCAAAATTGTACCTATATAAAACACCAAATTTTAGTTCAATGTAATTACACAATAAAACACAGATTAACAAGACAGACGTTTATTCAGAGTAGGGTAGCTCATCATTTGAAACAATACAATTTAAAATGGTTTAAATAATTATTACAATAATATAGAGAAATTAAAATGACTGTATTATAAATTAAATATTTGCAACAATTGATAATACTGGTTACCCGTTAGATGACCAGTTAGTGTAACCAGTGCCTTCTATTAAAAGATCAGCCTACGGGCGAGATTTATGACGTCACGCTAGTTAGATATAACGGATTAATAAATATGTTGTAGAATACATGGAAAACATAATTATTCCTCAGATTTTTGGTTTGTATTTTAAAAATGATATAGTTTAAATGAAATATACATAATGTACAGTTAATAACTACAACATATATACCTATTTATAGTAATAAATACTTTGACAAATAAACTATGAACCATACAAATGCAGCAAATGTTTTACAATGTACAAATAATGTATAGGTACATAAGATAATGGGTAAAATGTAAATATATTTTAAATTTTGGGGTTTGAAAATCGATCTAATTTAACAAAAAACATTTAATATCTACTAATAGTGATGTATTATTATTTGCATTCACAAAATTTATATGTATATTTTGCAAGTATCAATGTTCGAAAAATTATATTTACAAATAATACAATATTATCTAAAAAAAGCGTCAGCGATGGCTATGAAATGAAGATCGCTGGCATTTTATATGTTAAATTATTCTAAAATTTTTGATTTTCTTGGGATTTTTAGGTTCGGAAAAAACGCTGATTAAGTTTTCATTTGGGGTTTCATTATTTTTATTTGGTTTAAAAAAACGTTTCGGCTAACTATAGCCTTCACAGTGTTGTGTCATATGAGAAAAATAGTGTCGAATATAATCCAAAAAATTACATATACAATATAATTCACACCTCATAATGTTTACTGCAATTAATAAACTAATATAAACTTATCAAAAGATGACCACATATTTTTTAAAATTATTATTCTTAACACTAAAATTATCTACATTGACTATGGAGTACGCAGTAAACATTATGTGCGTGGTGTGAATATTTTATATGCAATTTTTTGGATTATATTCGACACTATTTTTTTCATATGACACAACACTGATGGAGGCTATAATGTTAGCCGAACCGTTTTTTTTTTAAACCAAATAAAAATAATGAAAAATCAATCAGCGTTTTTCCCGAACCTAAATTCCAAGAAAATCAAAAAATTTAGAATATTTAGAATCAAGGTTCAAGAATATCAAATTTTCCAAGATTGTAAAATTCTAGTTAATTATTTTATGTGTACAGTTATTTAGGGAATGTCATCGATGTTTATTTCAAGCCAAATAGACGCCGATTTTTTCGATGATACGGTATAATTCTTACGTAAAATGTAAATAACATTAGACCAATTAAAACAAAGAAATATGAATTTCTTAGTATTTTTAGTAACACCTTTATTCTTAAAACTTAATTTTGTATTATGCAAATATACCAATTTTATTGTTATTTTATTCATATTGTATTCAGCCATCACTTAAATATTTGATATTAATTTGGTATTATAAATAATCAATACTATTCATTAAAAATTACTGAACAAATATATGTTATGCTTAACATACATTATATATTATCAAACAAAAACACATTCTTCTTTTAAACTGTATCAGTCTTGTCTTTACAAAAATCTTTTTAAAATTTGAACTCAAAATAATAATCTTTTTCATGATCTCTAATACACATATTCTTTATTTTTCCCTAGATCATAATACCTACCTACGTGTTTGAATCTATCGAAGCTGAACCAGCAACACTTGGAGTGGAGATTCCACAATATGAATAAAATAAACATAATTGTCCAGTTTTCATTAATACCATCATGGGAGAATATTATTTTTAAATTTATTAAAGATATTTTCAATAAAATTCTCTTGATTTATAACTCGTACCCACTTTTCTTGCTCTTCCGGACACTTTAGGCTGCCTAGTATAATAACTATCCTTTCCACCAGGAACACAACAAAGATGAGGCATAGCACCAATAACACACTCCACTTAAGCTTTATTGATGAATTGTTAGAGTCATAAAAAACACACACAAAAATCACGATAAGTAAAAAATGTATGGGCACTTTTAGGTTAAATCACTTGCACAACGTGTAATTTTTAAAATTTCTATTTTTTATGCGAAACCGAGAGTGACCATATATCTGGTAGTAGTTTATGTCACTTCAACACCAAAATAATTAGTTTTTGCACTACAATAATAAATAATACCAAAAATCAAAGAGTTAAAACCACGTTAAAACCAAAAATCAACCGACAAAATATGAAACGGAATCTAACCCAATATCTAAGTATGTACAGCTGATGAAGTAAACAAAAGTCCGCCCGTAGGCTGATCTTTTATTAGAAGGCACTGGTGTAACCTAGACTAAAAAATTACCTACTTTACTAAAATTTAATATAAATGAAAAATGGGGTACCCACGATATAAATGATACTTATAATTACTAACTAAATGGTCTTTAACTAAACTAATCAGAAGCAACAAAAAAAAATAGGTACAATATTTATTAAGTACGCAGGAACGAGAGGGAGCTAATAAAGAGTTTGGTACTTAGCTTTTATTCGTAAGGGTCCCAAAAAAATCCCCTACGCCAGGATCTGCCGCACAACCAGAAGGCCCAACCACGTGGCTTCCCCTTAGCTGATCAATTGGTTTGAACAGGAACCTCGCTAGCCAGTCGTGAAAACCCTCGTGGAATCAAGTTGGTGCGTAAAAAGAAAAAACCAAACCAAGGTGCCTAATTTAAAATTAACCCAATAAAAATTTGTCCCACGTGATAATTAATAAACCAAAATTAACTTACCCAAACTGTGGGCGATTTCCTTAGAAATAATACAAAAGATGCAACGCTATTAGTTTCGTCTCAATCCAGCCGTAGCTGTATGATATAAATAATATCAATTAAACGTAGAGAATTATTAACATTTCCCAAAATCAAATGAAAGGATTTTTCACTCAAAACGTGACTTCACTGCCAGCGTGCCGAAAAGAAAAGAAAAGGAAATCACCAGACAGGTGGGCGCTTGGAATTTTAATCTCGATACCCCCTCCTGATATAAATTTAGCTATAAAATCCCTAGGTACATCCCTTTGGTACATCCGCAACCAGTTAAGTACCAATGTTGCCAGGAGTAATCCGATAATAAAAGAAACTTAATAATAAATCAAACAATAATAATAAGTTAAATGCAATTACAACTAGATACAATTGATA